GAACTTGCTATCGTATTTACATTCGGACCAAAGTGGTTGCGTACGCACAGACCGGATGAGCAAACCCTTCTCTCTACGACGGAGAACGAAACAAGGTGATCATCTGAGTTCGTCGCTCTTCAACGCCGTCTGGGAAACGTGTCCTGGGAGGTGAAAAAGAAATGGTTAAAAAAATGTGGATCACCTCTCGGCCATACCGAGTACACTTTGCTATCCAATTTACGTGTTGCCGATGATGTACTGCTGGCTGCGTCGCCATATGCACATTTGCGGAAAATGCTCGGCGACGAAGACATCCTTGAGATCTACCCCTGCACGAACCAAAACGGCTACAATCGTATCCTCGTCGCCGTAGGCCGCTACGGTGTCGTCCTCGACGTCAGGCCCGAGGGGGACCTCAGGATGCCTCTGGGGCCACATATCAAACCCGAACACACTGCAAACCTTGACAAAAAACGGCGTTGAATATATTACCAGCTGGGGGCCCAGACTCAGCAACGAGGACCAGAGGGGAGTCATTCGCCCCAAGCCTCAAAATCCTGGGAAATCTCCAGAGGTTACAGAACGTTCGACGGGCACCACGGGGATCCTCCAGAAAATGGCCCGATCGCGGAGCCAGACCAGGATCAAAAACTCATAGTACTTCGAACCCTCCAAGATAAGCCAGCAGTGGCCTTGCCACTCGAGAAGGCCTGCTCCGAGAGGATGTTCTGGCTCCAGATGGCCGCGTCTGGGTTTTGCCCCGAACCGAGAGACCAGTAGGGCCAATGGGCCCGCTCCAGGAAGTCATCGCGTTGGCGCCGACGCAGCCGTTCCCAGACTCGGACAGGGGACCCCAGGAGAAGGATTGGGTGTAGTCTCCCTTTCGGCTTCTCCAAGAGAGGCATCAGCATCCACGACAACTGCGCTGGGAATAAACCTATGCGCTCGACGGCCTCGCGATGCATCGCTCGGACCTCCAGCCCCAGGTCGCTCGGGCAGGCGAAGTGCCTTGGGTGGTAGACGTCCAGCGACTGGAAAGTGTAGCGGCTAAAAGACCGCGAGGCAGCACGTATCCCAGAAGGGCCGGCGCGCGGGATTCAACCTCGATCCGGAGTGCAGGCCGACGGCGGTATAGCCCGAGCATTCCAGAACTCGCCTAAGTTGGTGGTCTCCGAGGACAGGAGGCTCCGAGGGTCCGAAGTGAAGATGCCGGGGGGGGGGGGGGGCGCGCTCGACGACCGCGGGCTGTCATTCCTTCTGGATCTTCGCGAACCTAGGCGTGAGCCTCGCGGCGCCCGACAACGACTTCGCCTGCCAAGAGTCCCAGGTTATTCAGATGCCTACCCGCCATCAGTGATGGCCACGTCATAGTCAGCCTGGATGTCGTCTAAAAGCTTGGCGGCCCGATCGCGCCGCGCCTGGCCCAGTGGGCGGTCCGCGCTCCAGGGCGACGCAATTTCGCGCGTCGCGCGCAAGGTAGCGTCTAGCCATGGGCTCAAGCCTTCCCCTGGGCAGGAGTGCTGCAGCGCAGCCTGGAGATGCTGGCAAGGATGCAGGTCGCAATCATCGGCGGCGACCGAGTTAAACAGCTCAGTGAACGATTGAAAAAAAAAAAAAAAAAAAAAAAAAAAAAAAAACTTCCAACCGGCGATGATCTGGAGCTTGTCATCTGGATTCTTCGGGCGATAGAAAACTGCGAGCCAGGGCGCCTTAATCGTTCTGCTCTCTCCTATCTCCTTCGCCTCCGCGCCTAAGACCACGCGCAGCTCCACTACAGCGCAGTCGACGAAATGGCCCCTTGCATTGGAGAGAACAGACCATGCGGCAGTGGTGGGCGCATGCGCGCAGAAAAGGATGGCCTGGGCGGCGTGCGCCAGGGCGCCGCTCCACTCCGCCGGCGACGGCGCAGGCCCGAAAGGCAGATCAAGAGGCAGCCTCTGGTGCGTACGAGTGACCAGTTGCTTCAATCTAATGAAGCCCCCTCGAACCCCCAAACGAACGGGCCAATGTACCTCCCAGGATGCGCCCGCCGAGACCTGAGCAATGAGGCGCGACGTGCCAGGGCCCATGACGAAATAGTCGATCGCGCTGTTGGACGGCGGCGCACGACAAGTAAAGGCCGCGACAGACACGATCAGCATGCCATGCTCACGTACAAAACCAGAACTCTCGAGGACCTCAGGGCTCAAATTCCAATCACTTCCCAGGAGTGCGTGCGTCGGATCCGTGATGGACTGACCGATCGCCTTCAGGATTCCCAGATCGGCCTCGCTGAAACTGTCGGCAGACTTGAGGTAGACCGAGTGCAGCGACAGAACCGGCCACCCAGGGAACGCAGCCAAAACTTTGATAACTCTATGAGTACATATGCACCCACGGCCTTCAGCAGGCCAGCGTAGTCCCACTGCTAAACGAGCAAAAACCGCCACTCCGGAAGATAGCTTCCTATATTCAGGATTGATCCGAGCAGGAATGATGAGATCGCGCCACCCCAGTGAATCATCAGCGGCGGTAGCCGGTCCGGCAAAGCCCTCGCTGATGCCGGCTTCTTGGGCGCACGGCGCGATCGCATTGGCCCCGGTCAGACGGCGGCGCAGCGCGCGCCAGGCGGGGCCATTGAAAGTCCCCCAAAAAATACGCGTTGTCATCGCTATCTGCCAGGGGCCTAACCGGCGCCCCCTTCAGAGGGGGAACTGGGCAGCCCGTGGCAAATAGTGGAGCCCCCGAGAGCAAAGGTACTGCTAAGCCCAACATAGTGCCACCATAAGTTTGCTTCTTAGCCTTGGCCCCAAACTCTCGTAAAAAGCGACGCAAACTTTTCCTGGTGGCCACCCTCATCTTAGCGGGCGGTCGAAAGGAGTTGCTGGATCTTGTCGCTGCCGAGCTCTTCCATATCATCATCGGACGGGGCTGGCATTTGCTCATGGAGTGGAGCCCCCCCATCGGCGGAGGAGGAGGCGGCCGGAGCAGTTTGTGCAGCTGCCTGTTGCGCCTGCAGCAGCTCCTGGAGCTCGGCGAAAGACGGCGAGGCGCACATCTGCTGCACCTCGGGCGGCGCAGCGGCCAGGGGCTCCGCGGGCAGCTCGGACTTGGGGGTCTCGGGCTGCTCCTGCGACGGCGCGACCTGCTGCGCCATGCTGCGCAGCTCTATCTGGTGCGCGTAGATCTCGATCTGCGTGGCCTTGATCTTGCCCCGTGACTGTTGCAGAGACTCCGGGGCCTCCTTGACAGCCTTCTCCTGTTCCAGCACATCCTCCTGCAACTTGGCCAACTTCTGCTGGGAACGCGCCAGTTTGTGACCGAGCGCGTTGTGCCTCGTGCCTGCGGGCTTGCGCTCGGTGATCGACATGCGCACGGCCACGAGCTCAGCCGCAATCTGCGATTGAACCGGGGAGGTGCCCAAGGCCGTGCACTTCTTGAAAGCATTGATGGCCTCCTCCACGGCGTCACCCTTGGCGCGGAGGGCCAACAGCTCTGCATCTCCCTCGTTGGCCTCATCTCCTCCAGCATTGATCTCGGGTGGCTGGCCTCCTGAGCGGGCTGACCGATCACCTCCAACACGGGGGGGTGCTGCCGCCCTGGGTTTGCACCAGGATGCCGAGCTTCTTGGCGAGGGCCGAGAGGTGCTGCTCTTACTTGGACTGGGACGATGGGGGCCCACGAACCCAGCCCCCGCGAGGAGGAGCGCCACCATCCCGAGGAGCTGGAGCACGCCCATCCTTCTTGGCCTTGAGCACATTGGCCTTGGCGCGCTGCACGACCGATGTGGGTGCCAACTTGCCGCAGACACAGTGGATGCGGGAAACCCAGTTTTGGTTTCGCCCGCGGTCGGGACACCCCCATGTCGGGTGGCGCGGCCCTGCGAGCACCGCCTCGTCACCACGTCCCATGTGGAACCCTCCTCCGAGGGGACAGGATGTTGCTCCGACAAGAGCTCACTGAAAGCGTGAGGGTTGAGATCCCTCGAGCTGCGTGGTAACCGTAATAACGAGCCAATTAACCCGCGAGGGCGGCTGCCACTTTGAAGGCTGCTCCTGCAAGCCCAAAATCATGGGCCAGAACGGCTGAGGAGGAGGAGGAGGAGGAGGAGGAGGAGGAGGAGGAGGGGAGCCTCTCCAAGCTGACAAGGTTAGGATGAGAGAGGACTTCAATGAGCGTCCTCCCGAGGACTGCTAGCGCAAGATGGATCGTAAGGATCCGCGGTAAGGATACAAGCCCATTGGACGCCCGTATTGAAGCTTTGTCGAACGCGGCGGGCCATCGGAAGTGGTCAAGGATGGGCCGAAGAGGCACGGATGCATGGGTAACCTAGGAGAGGTGTGTTGAGCTACTGTTCGTCTTGTGCTGTGCTGCTGTTCGTCTCGTGTGTTGCTGCGTTGTGGTGTGTGTGTTGTGTATGTGAGTGTGTGTGTGTGTGTGTGTGTGCTTGTGTGTGTGTGCGTGTGCGTGTGCGTGTGCGTGTACGTGCGCGTGCGCGTGCGCGTGCGCGTGCGCGTGCGCGTGCGCGTGCGCGTGCGCGTGCGCGTGCGCGTGCGCGTGCGCGTGCGCGTGCGCGTGCGTGTGCGTGTGCGTGTGCGTGTGCGTGTGCGTGTGCGTGTGCGTGTGCGTGTGCGTGTGTGTGCGTGTGTGTGTGTGTGTTTGTGTGTGTTGCACGAGAAACCTGAACATGTTATGTTCCTCCCGTCTCCTGCGCAGAACCGGCCTCGTGGCCATGCTGGATCTGCTCTGCCTTGGAGAGGTACCCATCCTTAACATCGGTGTCGACTGAAAACGTGTCGGTGGCGCGCAAACATGGATTAGCGATCCTCGGATTTGGCGCGCGGTCGCCAAATCCATGGATCGGGGGAGGTGCCCTCCACAAAATGCGACCTCTGCCGCCTCGATCGGCGGCGGAAATCCGCGATTGATTTTCCCATGGAAACGGGACCCGTCGCTAATCCACGCCCCCTTGCTGCATGTTTGCGATCGCCTAAATCGGGCTCTAATGTGGACCTCTCTCCGCCTTCTCCCCCCCCCGCCTCTGCAGCCGAGGCAGCGGACACGTCGCCCGAGCTGCGCCTGGAGGGACGGGGCGGGGGGGGACGTCGCGGGTGGAGGACGGGGAGTAGCGAGGAGGAGGAGGAGGAGGAGGAGGAGGAGGAGGAGGAGGAGGAATGGGGGAGGAGGGGAGGGGGGAGCGGGGGGGGAGGAGAAGGGGGAGGAGGAGACGGGGGGGAGTGAGGAGGGGGAGTGAGGGAGGGGGCCGGGGAGGGGAGAGGGGATGGGGAGGACGAGGAGGGGGGGCAGCGAGCTTCTGACACCCTCGCGCGGTGGAACTTTATTGAAGGGACGTTTGCGGCAATGCTCAGCCTCTGGGGGCCCTTGCCAAGCCCCGGGGCCGGCAGAGCACGACTCTGGAGGAAAGGCCAGTCCCCAGGGATAGGTCAAGACCTCTGGGGAGCCACGCTGCGAAACATCACGACGTCAGATGTCTCAGGAGCGGGGAGACACGGGAGGAGGCGGGGGAAGGGAGAGGGGAGTGGATGAGGTAAGGGTGACACGGGGAGGAACGAGCGCCTGTCATACCTCGAGCAATCGCTGGGGGGGCTATACTGTGAATGACGGGCGCTTGCGGCAAACCGGCAAACGCATGCACATGACAACGCCATGGCGACAACCTGTCATTCGTAGCGAGAGGAGCTCGAACCGCTTCACAGAACGAGTCACCTCTCATGGATGCATTAAGTGCCCCCCCCCCCCCTCGAATGCAGAAACTGTAAGCACCGACTCCAACAGTGCACCTCAGATCGACCTCGCCCCTGGACCCCAAAAGGAGCCGCGGGGGCCGGCTGCACCAGGGAACCCGAAAGACACATACACCGCTGCTCCACAGACCTCTCCCAGGGTGCGCTCTGACTAGAACTTCGAGGGCCTCCCAGAAGACGCAGAGAGGCGAAGCGAGGCAAGGATGGCGGTGCCTGGCAAACTCTGACTAGTTAACTACTGTGTGCCCTCGCCACTCCCCCAGTTGAGGCCTCCTGGATGCCTGGATGGTGTCGGAGTAGATGGGGTCGAAGGATCGCGCCGCATCGCTGATACATTGGCGATGCATCGGCGACGCATCGGCGACGTTGGCGATGCGTCGGCGTCGTCGGCGTGGAGAAATCGGGCTCCGCATCGCGCCGCATCGCCGATGCATCGGCGATGCGGCGCAATCCTCCGACCCCATCTGCTCCGACCCTATCTAGGATTAGAGGCCTGGATATGGGCACCAACACCAATACAGGGGGTGCCTCCACAGGGGGAAGATGATCCCAGATGTTGGCGCTGGTGGTAATATTTCGGTCGCCTTGGAAGCCAGAATATTACCATGATCACCGAGATCGGGATCTTCTTCCCTCGGAGGAGGCACACCGCCGAGGTTGGTGTTGGTGTCAACCTCTAGGCCTGCGACAAGAGGCCTAGACCCACCCCCCTCCCAAGCCATACCTTCCCTCCCCTGCAGCTCTCCGGCCCCTCCCCGGGGGCCTGGACTGGCGCCCGCCGGAGCCCACGCTGATGGCGCTGAGAGATCGGCGAGCGAGCCCAATCAGTGGCCTGCGCGGGCGGCGGCTCAAGATACAACGAGGGGCATAGGGCGACACCGAATCCCCGACATGTTGGAGGATATACGACGGGGAGGCGTCCATCCTCGACAGGGGTGCATCGGCATAGCCCCCTCGGGATGTATCCCTCAGCTTCCCCCCTGGCTGATCGGCCTACCTTTTGTTGGCGGAGCTGGGGGACTGGGGGCGAGAAATCGCCTGCGACGATAACTTGAAAACGGAGGGGCCCTGGATGAGGATACGCAGGGGATAGCGAAGGGAGGGGCTGGAGGGTAATGCGATGGGGTTTGGAGGCAACTCGTGGAAAGTCTTCGTGGGAACGATGAAATGCTGGTAAGCCCGACTCATTAACCCATGTCGTTAAGGGACCGTTACGCTGGATTGTACCATCGACCAGCGTATCGTGGAATTGACCGGCGGGTGCAGCAACTCCCGCTGCAAGGCTCTCCAGCATAATGGCACCAAGCCGTTGATGACTATTGTATGTAATCGAGTTCCCGCCTTCTCCCTGTTCCCTGCGCTCCCCTCCCCCCCCCGCTCCTTCCCCCCCCTGTCCTCTTGCATGTTCAGTGTGCGATGTGCGAATGTAGCTGTCCCCGCCGCCCAACACTGGTCAATGAACAATGGATGCGACCCGGCGCGCGTGCATCCCGCATAATTTTCTGCACATGTTCGGGGCCTTCGTTTTCAATCCAATGTGTGCCGATGCGCCGTCTAGGCGCGGCTTCTTCCAATGCAGCAACTCCTGAAGCAAAGGCGGAAGTAAAATCGGCAACCTGCAGCGACCGCGATCATCGCGTCACTAGAACCCGCAATCATTCGCCTGAAAAACCAAATACTCCATCAAGACCGACCTTCCAGAATGACCGAACTCTGACAATGCCCAAGGAGAAACACCGGATTAAAAAGGATGGGACCAAAACAGGACGGCGTTCGACTACACCAGCGCCGATGCTCAATTAGTTCACCTCCCAGGAGTCGCAGACGAGAGGGGAGGGAGAAGGAAGGTGGGGGAAGATACCTGTCGGGAGGCAACTCAAATCTGACGGAGAAATGAAAAGAGGTTATACGCTCCGACAGAATCTCCAGCATCTTCCTCCTCCTCCGCCTCCGCCTGTTCCTCATCTTCCCATAGAGGAACGGCAACGCTGAGATTACTCCCAAGAAAGTTGCGCGCCTGCGGTTATGTTCACATCGACAATTCAATAACTGTGTCCCGCCCACATGCCGAGAAATCCTAAACAAGTTGTTTGCTCCGCCAAATCCACTCCTCCACTTTCCCTCTCCTATTTGACATCATATTATTCGTCCTCGTCCTTCTCACCAGCGGAAAGACAGAGCGGAAGAAAGTCGCAAATGGCCCAAAATGCTAGAGAGTGGGAGACGGGGGGAGGGCTGGGCAGACGCGAGAATGCACAGATATTAAAACATGCGAGATAGACGAGGAAGACTGGAGACAGAAAGCACCAGGAATGGCGAGGGAGGTGTGGATGAGCACCGCGATGACGACGCAAAGGGTACGAAGAGGGAGGGGAGGCAACTGAGGAAACAGATCGTGACGTGGACGAGGAGCAACAACAGGAGCAAGCATGGCAGACGGGGGGAGCGAATCGCGGTAGGGCAACGAGGATAATAGATACTCATGCACGCGTGAACACATAATTTAGCACATAATTAAAGGGGCCTCAGGACACACAAATAAATACACACAAATAAAAAGATTCCCCATATTTTCCCATATGTTCTGGGCTTCTGTCTTCCCCCCCACTTCCAATATTTTCCAATATGTTCTGGGGAATCGACGATTAATTGTGTCTGTGTTTTTTTGTTTATCTTCCTGACTTATGTTCGCGTGAACACACAATGTACCACAACCTCGCACGCGTGTCGCGATCGCTTAGGTCCTAGCACGCCCCGGCCCTTGAAGAACTCGCGTCTTCACGCATGTACACACCCACAAGTCGTGTGAACCCGAGTCAGACAGGCCGCAAGAGCCTTGGCCGAACAGAGACGAATTATCAGCAAGGGCGGAATGAATGCAATGCGAAGCAATGCAATACAACATGCAACACAAGAAAAGACACTGAAATAAAAAAGGGGAAATGTACGAATGTGCAACACAGCGCAGAGCAGAACAACGTTAAACATTACAATGTGATTCACAATATGTCTACATGCATTTCGTCACAACACAATGTTGCCTTCGCAATGCAAAATAAAATATATCTCAAAAGCCCGGATGATTATGAAGAGCTCGGAGATCTGACAATTCATGCAAAAACAGGGACCCTGGCAAACCAGCCGGGGAAACGGGGCTTGGGGCCGCAAGAGCCACGGGGGTTCTTACCTCAGGGAAGGGCAGGATGCATCAGGGGTTGTTGGGTCGGGCATGCCCCCCTACAGGCAGATTTTGGACGAAAAATAAAAAAGGTAGCCAGCAAATCTTCAAACATAGTCAAAGAAGGTAGTAACATCGTCACTAGATTACTTCCCTCTTTTTTCACAATATTTTGAGATGTTCCTCCTGTAGAGGGACAGGCCCGACGTAAATCGGGGGGGGGAAGAAGAGACAAGGAGAAGGGAGGAGCCGGGTGGGGATGGACGAGATAAGAGCCAGGCAGCTGGGCGGCGGAGGGAGGAGGAGTGGAAGGGCGGGAGGGAGGGCTGCAGGATGTTTGGGGGGCGAGGGGGCAAACGTGCTCCGCCGCCCCCCGCCTGCCGGTGGCGAACAGGAGAAGGCGGAGTCGGAGGCGGAGTCGGAGGAGGAGGCGTCTGGGACATTGGGGCTGTCCCCCTCGGGCACTCCCCCCCAAGCCAGCCCTGGGGTCCGAGGAGATCCCGTCGGAGGGGGGAGGGAGGGCGGGCACGAGCTCGCCAACCGCACATCCGGGGCCCTCGGAGGACTCAGGTCCAGCCTCCGTGGCCTCCAGGATGCGCCTGGGATGGCGCAAGGAAGGGCTCCAGCGCGCTGGAGAGGCCTCGAGATCATCCAAGAGGCCTCAGGGTGGCCCAAGAGACCCCGAAGACACTGAAAAGGGGCCCGAGGAGGACCCCCGAAACGGCCACGAGGGGCAAATCATGGGAGTTCCCACGTGTTGTGGAATGGCCGTTGTATTCCCGCCTACTCGGTGTCCTGAAAGCCCGAGACGACCCGAGAAGCTCCCCAGACCGACTCGAAGCGGCCGAATCGGCCCCAAGAGGCCCCCAGGACGGCCAATAATGCCGTCAAGCGAGCCCCAAGGAGGGGGAGCTCGCAGGGGCCCTGGGGGCACTGCCCCACAGGGTTGCCTCAAAGGCGCCCAGCCTACCCCCCGGAGGTCCTCCTCCCTCCCTCCTCCTCCCTCATCCCTCCTTCCTTCCTTCCTTCCCTCCTTCCCTCCCTCCCTCCCTCCCTCCCCTCCCTCTTCCCTCCTCCCTCCACCCGCAAGAAGCCGCGAAGCCCACAGAGGGCGCCAGAACCGTCTCAGGAGCCCCGAAAACGACTCCCAAGAAGCCGCCCAAGAGGCCTACAAGAGACCCCCCCCAATCAGCCTCGCAGCGCACACGGAGGAAGACAATACCAAATCAGCTGACAGCACGATGGCGTAACTCTCTTGAGTAGAGGAGGTTGACTGGAGGAGAGAGGAACGAGGCACGCGGGAGTAAGGAGGAGGGAGGGGAGGAATGAACCAAGAGTCCTCTTGGGGCCTCTCGTGGAACCGTCCTTGACCCTTGTGAACCGTGGGAGCAGTGCTGACGTAAATCAGTGCCTAAGCGCTCATGTCTGCTTGGCCGTCCGGGGAACCTCGCGTGACTCTCGGGTGGCCCCGCGCGGAGGGACCGTCTCGGAAACCGACAGGGCTCTTCAAGGCTCTCGTGGTGCATTCTGGGAGCCCCTCACGCGGGGGCCTCCTGGGGCCGTGGCGAGTCCCTGGGCGCCCGCTGGGGCGGCCCACTTGGCAGGCCTCAGCGGGATGGTGGAACCCCTCGGCGTTGACGCGGCATTCTGACAGAGAGGCAGGGACCAGGGAGGGGCAAAGAGGGACGAGGGGCAGGGCTGGAAGGATAGGACGGTCACTGAGAAAGGGGATGTGGGAACCCACGCGTGTGAACCAGGGATGACCGAGGGAACGGAAAGGCAAGAGAGGGAACTAGAGGTGAATGCATGTATATATATATATATATATATATAGAGAGAGAGAGAGATCCATATCCATGTACATACATATACGTGCATATCACATAATCATATACATAGGCATAGATCCGTAGACATAGCTATACATGTTGCCCGTATACATATGAGTGTGCACATACACACGCATGTACAATGACATACCTGTATATATATATATATATATACAAGCACACACGTGCATAGTTACATGTATATATACATCATATAAACACCTATACATCTCTATATATTTATACAGCGCGAAGACATGTAGCCTCATACTACAACAATGTAAAAGCATGCGTGTGGGCGAACTCAACAGTCGGGCAAAGCCACACGACCACACAAAACGCCCGACCCCCCCCCCCGCATATATATATATACATATATATATATATACGCACACACACAACTATATATACACATATATATATATATATGTAAATATGTGTGTGTGCGTATCCGCCACCGTGCCTGCGGCACGTTGAAACGTGGAAAAATGCCAAGGGCTGCCTCGCAAAATTTCAGCGTTCTGTTACAAAAGACCCCCCCGTCCTCCCGGTCACGCCCAGGGGACTGCACCAGCCCTACTCCAAAAGGGGGTGCCTGGGCGGCCACGGCGCCCTCCTGGGGCTCTCCAGGGCTTCCATGACGGCCCAGCCCCCAAGACGGTCCAGGAGGGCACCAGGTCGCCGAACGAACGCTCGAAGATGTCCAGGCTGGCCTCAAGATGGCCCAAGAGGCCCCCCAGACGCCCAAAATGGCCTCCAGAGGGATTTTGGGATTCTCGCCCTTTCAGCTTTCCGAAACACCAAGACGGCCCAAGAGGCCCCCAAAACACTCCAAAACGGCCCAAGAAGCGTCCAAGATCGCACCAAGACGTTTCAAAAACGCGCCCCAATACGGCCAAAGAGGCGCCCAAAACGGCCTAAGAACACCACAAGACGGCCCCAAAAGGGACCCAAGAGAGGGAACACGAACTAAAAACCCGAGCTTTCCGCCTCAAGAGGTTCCCAGGAAGGCCCAAGATGCGCCCAAGAGGCTTTGAGAGGCCCCCAAGAGGCCCAGGAGATTCCCAAGAGGCCCCACAACGGCCCCCCAGAATCTTCAAAAACGTGTTCCAAAAGCACCCGAAAAGCCTCGAACTCGCAACCCAGGCACGGTGGCGGGACTTGCCGAAGGCTGCTGCGTATACATATATATATATATATATATGGAGAGAGAGAGAGAGAGAGAGAGAAACAAGCATAGAGAGAGAGAGAGAGAGAGAAACGGAGAGAGAAAGATAACGAGAAAGAGAGAGAGAGAGAGAAACAGAGACAGAGAGAAGAGAGAGAGAGAGAGGGAGAAACAAAAGAGAGGGAGAGAGAGAGATTACGAGAAAGAGGGAGAGAGAACATAAAAAAGACGAGAGGATATAGAGAGAGAGACACACACAAACATAGCACAAAACATCAGAAGCAGAGAGAAAGAGAGAGAGAGAGAGCGATATAGAGACAGAAATAACGAGATAGATAGAGTAAAAAGAGAGAGGCAGAGCAAGAGAGAGAGAGAGGAAAAACAAGAGAACTGCTGACAACACATAGTCACCGACGGTAGGACCCCACACGAGGATTGATTAAGCTTGCCCCTCGCTCCTTTCGCTTCCTCCTCCTCCTTCTCCTCCTCCTGTTCGCCCTCCGTCTCCATCCTCCTTCTCGACCTCGTCGTTCCACATATTCTTCTCCTCCTCCCACTTCTAATTCTCCTCCTCTATCCTGTTCCTCCTCCTCCTCCCTCCTCTTCTTCGCCCCGCCTGCTCTCTTCGTGCACACATGGTTTCTTGGACGGGCCGATGTTCCTCTTCACCCTCGCCGCCACGGCCATAAAGGGTGCATTGTCCGATTGCCAGATCGCGCAGCCGTTGGGGCAACCCCCGCGGGCCAGGCCGTTGGGACAACCCCGCGAGCCGCAAGGGCGCGGGGGCCAGCCGTTGGAGCAACCCCGCACGTCTCAAAAAAACCGCGGCCGCACTCAGGCGGGAGGAAACGCGAAGCCCGGCTTTGCCGCGAGCTGCTCCGCCTCAGCCCTGGGGCCCACAGCTTACTTGTCGAAATCCCTGGGAGCCTTCCGCAGCCCTCAGCCCAGGCGCAGTCGATGGTGACGCCCCTGCGCAGCGTCTGGCCCTGCGCTTCCCGTTCGACATTTCCTCAGAATTCACTCCCCCACGAGGCTCATCAAAAAAGCTCAAGTGCTATGCCTGCTGCTATGGTACGCCGATGACCCGCTCCGGGTTCCCGATAGAGAGTTCCTCACAATTCACTCACAGACGAAGCCCTTTGGGGTTCTCAGGTGCTACGCCTGCTATGGTACGCCGATGACCCGCCTCGGATTCGAACATGAAGCACGGGGCCCTTCGGGGACGGGGTTCCCGCTCAAGACTTCCTCCAAATTCACACAAACAAGGCTCCTTGGGGTTCTCAGGTGCTACGCCTGCTATGGTACGTCGATGACCCGCCTCGGATTCGAACATGAAGCGCGAGGCCCTTAGGGAGGGGGTTCGTGTTCGAGACTTCCTCCCAATTCTCACACAGACGGGGCCCCTCGGCTGCTCAAGTGCTATGCCTGCTATGGTACGCCGGCGAACCGCCTCGGCTTCGAACAGAAGGTGTTGGGCCATTAGGGAGGGGGTTCCCATCGAGTCTTCCTAACAACTCACGCACAGACGAGGCTCCTTGGGTGCTCAAATAATATGCCTGCTATGGTGAACCGATGACCCACTTCGGATTCGAACATGAAGTGCGGGGCCCTTTGGGGAGGGGGTTCCCGCTCGAGACTTCCTCACAACTCACTCACAGACGAGGCTCCTTGGGTGCTCAAGTGCTACGCCTTCTATGGTAAGCCGATGGCCCGCTTCGGATTCGAACATGAGGTGCGGGGCCCTTTGGGGAGGGGGCTCTCTCCTCACAACTCACTCACAGACGAGACTCCTTGGGTGCTCAAATAATATGCCTGCTGTGGTAAGCCGATGACCGCTTCGGATTCGAACATGAAGTGCGGGGCCCTTTGGGGAGGGGGTTCCCGCTGGAGAGTTCCTCACAACTCACTCACAGACGAGGCTCCTTGGGTGCTCAAATAAAATGCCTGCTATGGTAAGCCGATGACCGCTTCGGATTCGAACATGAAGTGCGGGGCCCTTTGGGGAGGGGGTTCCCGCTCGAGACTTCCTCACAATTCACTACGGCCGATGGTCGATGCTCACGATGGAATGGTGAGAGTGACGAAGATGGCGATGGTGGTTGTGATAGTGGTGATGGTAAGTGAATGGTCAGTGATACTGTGACGCTGATGATGATGCTGCTGATGATGAGGGCTGGTGACCATGGCATAATGAGGAATATGTGAGTGGTGAGTGAATGTGAGTGCTGGAGCGATTGTTGATAATGATGGTGATGGTGATGATGATGACGATACTGTTGATGACGATGACGATGGTGATGCTGATGATGATGGTGATGCTGAGTAGATGACGATGATGCTGATCATGATCATGCTGATGGTGATGATGAGTGGGTGGGTGTGTGTGTGTGTGTGTGATGGTGTGAGTGCATGTGCGCGTGAGTGTGGAGGAGAGGGGGGAATTGGAGGAGGAGGAGGAGGAGGAGATCATGCGGTGTGTGTGTGCAGAGAAAGCAAGAACCCCAATTTGGACGCGGGGGACAACAAGGGTGAGAGAAAGAAGGATCAGATAATCATGAAGATGAACAAAAAACACCCCAAGGATGACGGAATGCGCGCGTCGCGCGGCAAGGGCATCTCCTCAGTCCCGGCGACGGCGTCACTGGATCCCTCTGCGGGTTCCCGCCGTCCTCCGCGCGCAGGCAGCGTGGAAGGATCGCCCAGAACCAGAAACGAGGCCAACCAGAAGGAAACAACGAAAACAAAGAGAACGAGAGAGGTTAAACACTCACCTCTGGAGGTCAGGGCGTCCTACCTCCCAGAACCTTCCCGGACAGAGGGAGAAACAGAGACGCGCAGGAGGACACAAGGCCACAAGGCCAACCAGAGGGAAGCAACGACAAACAGAGAAAGAAGGAGGTTGGAACACTGACCTCCGGAGGTCAGGGCTTCATGACTGCGGCAAATGCGCCGAGCCGTGTCTTGCTTGGTTTCCCGACTGCGAAACACGTACCGCGCCGCCCCGCGCCGTGCCATGCTTGGTCTTCAGAGTGCCACAACTGGGCAGTTCATTGTCGTGCCCTCCCTGGTCGACGGCGACGGCGACGACTATGGCGTCGTCTGACGGCGACGACGACGACGACGGCTGCGGCGGCGGCAGCGGCGACGACGACGACGGCGGTAGCGACGAGTTCGACGACCACGACGGCGACGACGAGGACGTCGACCACGAGGACGAGGAGGACGTGCGCTATCGCCCCACCTCGGGCCGAGGCCTGGTCCTCTCGCCGGCCGCTTCGGCCGCGCGCTCGGCTTGCCACTGCGGTCGCAGGTCGCCGAGATCTTCGTTGTACTGGAAGCCCTGTTAGACGCGCGGATGTGCTCGGCGCCGAAGGCTTCGTGGAACTGTGGAACCGTGCGAGACGCGCGCTTTGGGCTTTGATGCGCTTTGGGCCCCTCGCGGAACTCGCAGGGTCGCTCGGTGTCGAAGATTGCGTGGTCCTTTGATGCCATGTGGCACGCGCGGGCGGGCTCGGCACCGAAAATTGTGTGGCATGTAGAGACGTCGTGAAACCGTGTGAGACGCGTGACTGGGCTCGGCGTTTTGAGACCGTGTGAAGCGCGTGGATGAGCTCGGCGCCGAGGGCTTCGGGGCACTTTGGCACCGCTTCAGGCCGCCATCGGGACTCACTGGGTGTGAGACGCGCGCCTTAATCTTACGTCGGGCATGTCGCCCTACAGGCGGATTGTGGACGAAAAATAAAGCATGGTTGAACAAATACTCCAAAATGACAAAACAAAATCGAACAATCGCCCCCCACATTATGTTTTCATAACTATTTTTGAACATTCCTCATGTAGGGGGACAGGCCCGACATAACCGTACGAACTCTGAAATTTGGGGTCGGGCAGTTCCAGGGTGGCTCGAGCATGCAGGGGCCGCCGTCCGGGCGCGCCAGACGTCGCATAAGGTTGGTCACTTGTTGGGCCCACGTCGGCTGGGCGAGCGCGCAGCGCCCGAGGTGACTTCATGCGGTTGTCTGGGATGTGATGTGCACACGCACGAAGGCCACTCTGTGAAAAGTGCACACGTCGAACTCGAATGCATCCGCAAACCGCATCTGATCAGATTCCCATGTTTGATGAATGTCTCTCCATCATGTTCCCATGTGTTCTCTTTGTGCTTATCAATGTGTCGTGTTCCTTCTCGCTTCATGCAAGCACTTGTCTGCATGGCTCCTTAGCTTTATGTTTCCTTATTATTATCCTATGCATGGGCAAGCTCCCAAAGTTGGAAACCCTGACATCCAGAGGTTTGTGTTCGAGCTCCCTGCTTCTCTCTGTTTCTCTGTGTTTCCTCATGTGTTTCGCTCTAGCCGGCTGGTTGCGTATGGTCACATGTGTTTGGCGTTGTTTCGTTTTCCGAGGGTTGGGGGGCAAACGCCCTGACCGTCGGGTTCTTGTTCCAAGCTCCGAGGTGCGAAACCCTATGGCAGGTTCGCGTCGTGTCGACCCCGACGTTGGTTCCTGACACCGCGGGGATCGTTCAAATTTGAACGATCGGCCCTTTTAAAAAAGCCGGATCGTTCAAGGATGGGCCGATTCTGGGCCACAAACGGCGTTCAACCTTACACGCACGCGCCGGAATCGCCGCCAATTGACACGCCGCGGACCTGCCGTAACCTCCGGAGGTTGGTGTTCCAAGCTCCGAGATACGAAATCCAAGCCTCCGGAGGTTAGGGCTCTAACCTCCGGATTCCAGGGGTTACTGGGGGACACATGCATCCGCTTCGCTGCCCAGAAGAAATGGTCGGCGCAGTGGTCGGCAGCGTCGCTGACGTTGGAGGAGATCTGGTAGGCGTAGTTGTCGTCGGCGGCCTCGCTGACGTGGGATGAAAAGCTGGTGGTAGGCGTAGGCGTCGTCAGCGGGCCTGCTGACACAGGAGACGAGCTGGTAGGCGCAGTTGTCGTCGGCGGCTTCGCAGACGTCGACTTGTTTTTTCGGTTGCTGAGAAGTTAGGAGGAGGAGTAGGAGGAGGAGGAGGAGGAGGAGGAGGAGGAGGGGGAGGAGGAGGAGGAGGAGGAGGAGGAGCAGGAGGAGAAGGACGAGGAGGAGGAGAAGGAGGAGAAGGAGGACGAGGACGAGGAGGAGGAGGAGGCGAATGAGGAGGAGCAGGAGGACGAGGTGGAGGAGGAGGAGGAGGACGAGGAGGACGAGGAAGAGGAGGAGGAGGAGGCGGAGGCGGAGGAGGACGACGAGGAGGAGGAGGAGGATGAGGACGAGGGAAGGGGGGGGGGGCCGAGCCCGAGGTTGCTGCATCGGGCCTGGCAGGCCTTGGGGACGCTGCGTGCGCTCGGCAGGCCGGAGATCGAGGGAGCAAAACTCCGGGCACGGCCCACGGCCTGGACCCCCAGCGCCGTATGTAGTGAGGCCCTAATGGACCAAGCCGACGACAAACCGTCCCGTCCCCAGAGATCCGACCCTCCAAAAAAAATGGGGCGGCGGGATTTTGTCTATTTTCGGCCTCGGGGGGCCCTCGCCGGGCCTCGGGACCGTCAAAAAACGACTCAGGAAGAAAAACAGCCCCAGGGAAGTGGTCCAGACCTCTGGGGCCCGCGAACCAAAAAATTGGAGCGGCCGGATGTCTGGGCCCCCAGCAGACAAGCGCAACGAGGCGACGTAAGACTCGTGTCCATGGGACTCGGGTTGGCCTGACGGGGCCATCTTGAAAATGACGAGGTCCCATGGGAAATGTGACGGGAGCCCTCGCTGCACACATCCCACGAACATCGGACCGCCAAAATCCAGGACGCGCTCGTCAAAAAACGTCGGCAAACCCGAGTTCTGGCCTACGCCAGTAGACCAAGCCGACGACAAACCGTCCCGCCCCCCAGCAGGCAAGCGCAACGGCACAACGCGATCGACCCATCCCCCTGCTCACGACCCGACCCTACGAGGAGACAGAGCGGGGGCATGGGCAAATCCCTCGCCTCCAGGGTCACGATTTTTCCCTCGTGCCCTGATTCGCCTGGCGCCCAGAGTGGGGGGCAGCAGCAGGGGTATGGATCGAACATCGATCGTCGTTCGAGACCATTTCTGATTGCTATGTCGCAGGCGATTTGTTTCCCCCAATCCACGAGTTCCGCCCGATAAGTTTGGCCGCTCAGAAAAATGGGAACTCTAGGATACGACCCAAAGGGGCTATTCGGACGCACCCCTATCGAGGATGGACGCCCCCAGTTGTATATCTTGGGGTCGGGCGCCAAATTCCTGGTTCATTCGAAGCCCCCTACAGACAGGGGTCGACATACAGTCAATCCGTAGAATAAGGATGCGCGGTGAGGATGCAAGGGCCTTGGAAGGCCACGTCGGCACTTTGCGAGCGGGGCGCGGCCAGCGAAAGCGGCCAAGGATGGGCCGACGGGGAAGGATGCAAGGGCAACCTTGGAAGATTGCTCGTCCTTGCTATGCGGGTTGACTGTATCCCCTGTTACTATGGTGGCCTCTGGAAAGCTGGCTGGGTTGTCCTGAGCACTAGCGGCGAGCGCGGGGGGGAAGTGAGAAGAGGGCCTTCTTAGACGGCTCGGAAGTCCCCTGGCCTTCTGAAAGGTCTTCGGAGCCTGCCCCGACGACGCAGAACGCTTCTCAGAAGTCCCGCTGCCCTCTGAGAAGGCCTTCTCCTTCTCTGGGGAAGCCAAAGGTACCGACACCGCTGCTCCCCGGACCTCTCCTGGGGTGCGTTCCGACCAGGATTTCGAGGCGAATCCAGCGGTGGCGACGAGGACCGCCCGGGAGGCCCCAAAAGGGGATCACGAGGGGCGGGTAGAGGTGCGGGTACCTCTTCCTCCCCTGATTCTCACTTCCCCCCCTCGCTCGCCGCCGCATCGCAGCAGAACCTGCAGAGGACGGAGGCAAACAGCGGCACGGACACCAGCTTCTGGAGAGGCCCGCGTCGACGTCCGGGCCCTGCGGGCCTCCCTCGAGTCCACGTCGAGCCCGCGCCGAGCCCGCGCCGGATGCGAGATCGGACCGCAGGTGGCAGGACAGAACAAGCTCCCCGAAGACGCAGTGCTACGATCCGCGATCCGCCGCCTTCGGCCGTCCTCCCTCCTCCTCGGCCCCTCTCCTTCCCCTCCTCGCGTCCCCTCGCTCCACCCCCCCCCAGAATATTTGCCGAGGGACATGGAATGCGGCCGCGCTCCCATAAAGTGACGGTCTTCTGCTACTCCGGATCTCATATCATGGGGGGGGCCTACTTTGGGAAGGCTTCTAACGGGCCTCGTCTAACAAGATTGTGGGGGGGGTCTCGATTTGGGACCCTTTGCTGTCTCTCTGGGGGGAGGTATAATACTTCGAGCTGTCGTGCAACACACGTTCGACATTCGATGAGGGCTTCGGGGGGGGGGGCAACCCCCTGCCAATCGCCAGCTCCCTGGCGACGACGACGACCACGACGCCCGCGACGACGACGACCCCCGCAACGACGACGCCGACGCCAACGCCGACGACAACGACGCCGACGATGACGAAGAGAACGACGACGCCGAAAACGACGACTTCGACTCCCACGACGACGACGACGACGACGACGACGACGACGACGACGACACCGTTGTAGTCGTAGTCGCTGTCGGTGTCGTCGTCACCGGCGTCGCCATTGTCGTCACCGGCGTCACGGGGGGTGTCCAACAATTTATGCCCGAACGCTTCTCATTGAGGGGGGAGTCTAGACCGAAACGTCAAACGATACTTCTGGGGGGGTCTGGATTCTGGTGCGGTTGCACCGCTCTTCGGGGGGGGGCCTAGACGGGCCGTCAAGCACTTGTTGGACCCCCCCCATGATTGTGAGATTTGGAGTAAAAATGTTGTCAAAGGTTGCTCTGAAGTGGTCAAGTCGTGTTGCATTTCAATCTGAAGACTTGGCAGCGGTATACAGGGAGTTTGTTCCTGGTAGAGCCGTGAGACGTAACAATTGCTTGACTCAAACAGGTGGCGTGGCGCAGCTTCTGTGTTTCGTGGAGGTACTCGTCTTGTGCGTGCGCGTGTTCTTCCTTGTCGTCTCGCTGTTCTCCGGGGTCATGGCAAGCGCTTTGTGGTATCCGCCATGGCGCCTCTGGGCACGAAGTGGGCGTGCCCTCAGGCCCTTCCCAAACTCCTTGGTGGCCCGTAGCCCGAATGACCAAACCTCTCGGGGCTCGTCGCGTGCCCCCTGGGGCTTCTCGCGTGGCTTGCTCGGGCCCAGAACTGCCCCAAGACGGCCCAAGAAGGCCCCAAGAGGCCTCGAAGACGGCCCAAGAGGGTCCGGAGTCGCCGAATGATCGGCGCGACATGCCCAAGGCAGCCCGAAGACGGCCCGAGAGGCCTCCAAGAGCACTCCAGAGAGGGTCCAACGAGGCCAAAACCATTGATTTTCCTTTGGTGTTTGTAACGTTTGGGTTCTCGCCTTTTCATTGTGCCGACGCTCCAAGACGGCCCAAGAAGCCTCCAAGACCGCCTCCAGATGGCCCAATAGGCCCCCCAAAGCGCTCCAAGATGGCCCAAGAGGCGCCCAAGACGGCCCAGGAGGCGCCCAAGACGGCCCACGAGAGCCCCCATACGGCCCCCCGAAGGAGACCAAGAGTGGGAAGCCGAACCGATGTCCCAATAGGCCCCCAGGAGGCCCCCAAGAGGCGCCCACGAGGCCTCAAAACGGCCCCCAAGAGGCCTCGAAACTGTCTCCAAGAGGCCCCCGAGAGGCCTCCCACGAGATCCCAACGAACATCCAACAAGCTTCATGGCGGGATGGTCCAAAAGCCATTAGATCCGCCAACGTGCCTCTGGGCACGGAATGGGCGTGTCCTCAGATGCTTTCCCTAACCCTTCAAGCCTCAGAACTCAATCCTGAGGAATCTCTGAGGGGCCTGGACCCCAAATACCAACCGAAATCTCTTGGGGCTTGTCTCGCCATGTCGCTAAACTCTTTCGGAGTCAAGAGGGCCCCAGGACGGGCCAACAGGACCCCAAGAGGCACCAGAACGCTCCAAGAGGGCCCCGAGTCGCCGAACGGCCTAAGAGGCCTCCAAGACGCCCCAAGAGGCCTCGAAAGAGGCCTCCCAAGAGGCAAACATCATTGATTTCCCGATGGTGTTTGAAGGATGTTGGCGTTCTTGCCTTTCCTGCTTCCCGACGCTCCAAGACGGCCCAAATGGTCTCCACGACCACCCGAAGACGGCCCAAGAGGCCTCCAAGAGAGCCCCAAGACGGGCTAAGAGGCGCCCCACGACGGCCCAAGGGGCCACGACACACTGCACTGGGTGGGAGAGAGGCACGCGAACTGCGGAGGAGGAGAGGAGCCGAGGGGAATGTCGCGAGGTAGTGGGGTGTGGGAAGAACAAAGCGGTGGAAGGAGTGAATGGGGAGGAGTGAGACAGGGAAGAGGGGGGGGAGCGAGGGGAAGGAGGAGCGAGGTGGCGGGCGAGGTGGTTGCGCGAGGCGGGCGCGGAGCCCAGGGGGTCGGCGAGGGAGCGCACCAGGCGCGCCCCAATGCGCTATTTCGGTGACCCCCCCCCGCCCTGGGAGGGGGCCCGCCGCGCTCGAGACATCCCCTCAAGCAGGTTGGATTTCATGCCCCCCACCCCGGTCCCGGCAGCAAACCGAAAGAGCTCTCGCGCAGAGCCCGAGGAGCAGCTCGGGGAGGGGCGCCGCGCTCGAGGCATCCCCCCAAACCCTGGTCCTGGCAGCGCCCCCACCCGTCCCGGCAGCACCACCCCAGTCCCGGCAGCACCCCAGGGAGCACGACTAGACAGGGGAGAAATGGGCGGGAGCGCGGCCCCCCACGACCCAGAATGCCCAAGAAGGCCAGGAAGCCTCCAAGATGGACCCAGGGAGCCCCCAGGGGGCCCAGGAGCCCACCCCCCCTCCTCCTCCTCCCCCTCCTCCCCCACCCTCCTCCTACTCTTCCTGCTCCTCCCCCTCATCTTCCCCCTGCTCCTCCCCCTCCTTCCCCCCATGCCCCTTTTCCTTCTCCTGCACCTCCTTCTCCTCCTCCGACTCCCTCCTCCGACTCCCCTGCGTTCGCTCGCCGCCCTGACGGGGAGGAGAGTATGAATGAAAATGAGATGGCATGATGAGGAGAGATGAAACGACATGATGATGACTTCTCGACCCCCCTGGACTCACTTGAAGAATCCTTAGGGGTAACCGAGGTGGGGGGTGACATCCTGTACTGATGACAACGTGCGAGAATCCGAAACTACCGGCACCCCCATGATCCTCCCATCCGGACCCCCTCCTGGATCTGCGAGCGGTGCGCGGCCAGCGAAAGCGGCCAAGGACGGACCGAAGGGGAAGGATCCAAGGGCAACCTTGGTACATGGTTCATGATTATTATGCGGATTGACTGTATGGAATTCAAACGCAAACCTAAGATATCCGCGCATCTCCGATAGATGATCTTAATGCCGTTCCTTTACCACCGGTACAATCGACCCGCATAGTAAGGCCGAGCGATTTTCCAAGGTTACCTTCCAAGGTTACCCTTGCATCCTTCCCCGTCGGCACCTCCTTGACCGCTTTCGCTGGCCGCACCCCGCTCGCAGAGTGTCGACATGGCCGGCCAAGGCCCTTGCAGCATTACCGCGCATCCTTATTCTACGGGTTGACTGTATGGGGTTCCAGCGCAGATCCAAGATATTTGCGCAGAACTCTGACCTACTATGTACATGCCATCTTTTCACCATCGGTACTATCAACCCGCATAGTAAGGCCGAACGACTCTCCAAGGTTACCCTTGCATCCTTCCCCTTCGGCCCGTCCTTGGCCGCGTTCGCTGGCCGCGCCCTCCTCGCAGAGTGCCGACATGGCTCTCCAAGGCCCTCGCATCCTCATCGCGCGTCCTTCTTATACGGGCGGACTGCATCCCCCCTTCGACCCATCCATCGCCGCAGTGCGCGCCCCCTCCTGCTCCTCGCAGGCGCCAGTCGGCGGCGAGCTCGAGCTGGCGCGGGCGCGGGGGCAGAGGGGGAGGGAGGGGGGCAGGAGGGCGGTGGCCTCTGTTAGACGAAGCCAGGACGAGGATAAAATCGGGCGAGGATACAATGATCGTGGCTTCATGGGGGGTGACAAATGGAGCGGGGGGGGGAGACAAGCGCACTTTTCGGCCTCAAAAGGCCCCCTTCTGGGCCGTAAAAGGACCCTTTTCAGGGGCTCTCGAGGGCTACTTTTCTGCAGCCGTCGCTGCCCCCACGTGTATCGCTGCCCCACTACGCGAAACCAATATAAATCGATAGTCTCTAAGATCCGGTGGCTCTGGAAGATGTCTCGGGCGCCGCGGCCTTCTCCGAGCGATGCGGAACGCTCTGCGAGCGTCCCGCATCGCTCCGGAACGGACTGTCCTCGTCCTGGCCTGGTCCGGGCCTTGCAGTGGCCCTCTGGCGGTGGACTCTCTCAGGGGCAGAAGGGCAGAAGGGCTCTCTCGAGGGGATGGGAGAAAGAGAGGGGCAGAAGGATGAATCTATGGGGATGAAGGGCGACGTGGATGGGTGATCATGTTGCGGGGCGGGGGGGGGGGCGAAGAGGAAGAAGACGAACCCACAATCCAATATTTCCGCCCCAGGAGGCCCAAAAAACGTTCCAAGAAGCCCCCGAACGGAGCATGTCCACTGCCTGCTCTCTACCCTCCCCCTCGCCCCCGGTGAGGATGCTACAGACTGTGGGGTCGGAAGCGTTTCTCGTGCGCAGACGAAAACGCTGGTCAGGCGATTCTTGACATTTCAACCGCGCCAGCGACTCGAAACCATGGTGGGCTGGGATGGGGAGCCGATGCCTGTAGATTTGTCGCGTTGGCGCTCGGACCCACATGGCTTCCAGCGGCACGGCAATTGAAGCAAAGGCTCACTATGGCACCCCGCCGTGTCCAACAATCGGAATGAAGAACGCATGTTGCGTTCGACTTTTAGTCGATCCCAACGAGTTCACTGCCTGCTCGCTACCCCTTCCCGCCCCCTGTGAGGATGCCACAGACTGTGGGGTCAGAAGCCTTGCTCGTGTGCGTACGAAAACGCTGGTCCGGCGGCGCCGAGTTGACATGTCTCGGTAGCGTCGGCCTGCGCGCATAGAGGGCGCCTGCGAACCCGAGGCTCTGGAAAACACCGTTCGCAGAGGTCTTTGTACAATGGTGGCGGGAGGGCATCGACGCGCGGCGCTCATCGAATCTCCAAATGCACTGCGTCACACTGGAGAACGACGCGCCCTCGCCTTCACAGAATAAGGCGTCGTGCGTGATCCCGCTGCTGGTGTTTATGATGAACTGCTCAACCGGCGCGAAGCCGAGCTGCGGACGGCGGCGTTGGCCCCGCTGTCTGGCTGGGCCGTGCGGCCCGCCGAAAAAGTGCGAGGCTCATGCGCGCTGGCCGAAGTCCGTGAAACCTCTGCCGCCTGCGTTTGCTTCGACTCCTGCACATCGGTGGAAAAGGTCGGCAATTTTGCTAGCCGCTAGCCATGATGTTCAGCTCCTCCACGGCGGGGGCGACGATGCTGCTCACACTCTCCTCGAGGTTGGGAGAGCCACGGGGCACGGGGGACGCCGAGCCCCAGGCGTGCCGGTGACACCGCACTCCAACGAGGATTGTATCCAAGTCACGGGCGCCCTCTCCTGGGACCGCTGCCGAAGCGGCCGCGGGAGGCACAGGCAAAGCGGCCGACGACGCAGCCAGGGGCGCATCCCCGACGCAGCCCAACACATCGTCGCTACCCAATCTCCCCAATAGCTGTACAGCCCAGGTGCACATCCCGGCACGCGCCAGACCTTGGGCGCCCCCGACGCGCAACGAACGTCCTCCCTTCAGCTGGAAGCCCTCTGCGGACACAGCTGGGTAACCCAAGAAAGACGCGGCAGCTTTGATGGTGGCCACCATACCCTGTTTGGAGCACGCCTGATCGTGGCGGTCTGGGAACAACGGCAGGGACAGAACGGGTGCGCCCACGCCAGAGTGGCGGTTGGGGAAGAGTCTGGAGCCATGCCCGTTGGTCCCACAAGCAGTGAGCGGGGCAGCCAGCACCAAAAACTCCGCGGTTACAGCAGCATCCGTGTGCGCGCTCCATGCCAAGCGCTCGCGGATCCGTCTTGGATGTTGGTAGCGTCTACATGGCCGCCAAGCCTGCCGAATCCGACGCCAGGAAATGACCATGGCGGCCGGCGCTGAAGACAGTTCGATTTCTCTCGCGAACCACCATGCCCCAACCAGAGCCCGCCTTGGGTTGCAAGGCCCACCTGGCAATCCTAGTCCCGAGGAAAACGGCACAGTGCATCCAAGCATGAAGAGACCAAACCTAACCCAGAACCGATAACCGATAACCGTGACCGAACCGAACCAAAAACAGGACACCTTGGTTTATTACATTTAAAAAAGGAACCGGACCGGACCGTTCGTTCAGAACCGAACCGGGGGGAACCGAATCGAACCAACACCGGAACCGAACCGGAACCGGGTGGCCCTCCGAACCGAACCGACATGAACCGAACCGCACGTCCCAGCCCAGCCCACACAGGACGGCAGGCCGACGAGCCCCCGTACCCCACCACCGTGGAGGACGACGAGGCTTGAGGCAGCCAGTGGCGAAGCCTAAGCCAATATGTGCAAGCGGTGACGAGGATGACCATGACGAGTATGAGGACGCCGGGGCAGGTCGGAGCAGGTCGGAGCAGGTCGGGGCGGGTCGGGGCGGGTCGGAGAGGGTCGGAGCGGGTCGGGGCGGGTCGGTGTAGGTCGGGGCGGTTCGTCCGCGGCGGACCGCGGAAGGACGGGCCGCTTTGGGCTACCCCCATTGCTGGGTTCCCCCCCCCAGCCCGGGGTCCCCAGGCCCCATCCTCCGCTCGCCGCCCGGCTCAGGGGCTGGGGCCGGAGGCCCCCCGCGGCGGCGCCCAGTGTACCACGTCGGAGCGCGGACGGCAACACCGCCGACGCGGGGGGGCGACGCGCGGTGGTTGTGTTCTCAGCCGCGTTTTCATTATCATCGGCTGTGCTCTCATTCTTATGATACAGTTGAATGGCTAGCAGGATCCAGCAGAATCCTCTTCCTCCTCACCCCTCCTCCTCCTCCTCCTCCTCCTCCTCCTCCTCGTCCTCCTAGTCCTACTCCGCCTCCTCCTCCTCCTCCTCCTCCTCCTCCTCCTCCTCTCCCTCTCACCCTCCCTCCCGAGGGGCAAGGGGATTTGTCGAAAGATGTCGTGTCTCCATGCCACGATATCTACACACCCCTCCCCCTCGCCCTCACCCCACTCTTTGACGCCCCGACCTATGATCCAGGCTGCGTGGCAGCGTGGGGCATTACGGCGGTCCTCGCGCCTGACTTGCATGATCGGATGACTCACAGCCCGAGGGCCAGGGCAGCGGACGACGCAACTCATAAAACTCTGACCGCAGCCCTTCGAAGCGAAGAGGGGCCACCGCCGCAACTCAAGCCGTACATCACGCAGGACGCGTTGGCACCACAACTGCTTACGGCCGTCGACGAGAAGTGCCAAACAATGCGACGGAAGGAGGGGGGAGAAGAGACAGCAAGGAATTGTTATAACAAACGGACTCTCAGACGTGTTGAGACAAGTTGTGCACTTCAAGAGTCCATTGCTGCTTTGACTGGCCGCGGCACCGATGATCCACCCCTACCTCTTATTCGGACGGCCCCTCTCATTCCGACCGCAGCCCGAAGATGGCAAGGACAGTGGACAAAATTTGGTGGCAACTCATGGGAGCCTCCATGCCGTCTTGCTGGCTCTTGCGAATCGACGCTATTGGACGCACATCGACGCAATTCGACGACCGATCGACGCTAATCGACCCTAAATCGGCGCTTCCCCATCGATAATTAAGCAGACGCTAACGCACGCTAATCCATTCTTCGGCGGCCAGCCTGTGGGAGAAGTGAGAGGTGGCGGGCTGGCGGGCCTTCTCAGAAGGCTCGGAAGTCCTCCCGCCTTCTGAAACGTTGCCTAAGCCTTCCACGAGGACACGAAAAACTGCTCACGAGACCTGAGGGCTTCTGAGAGGCCCCGCCGCCCGCCGCCATCTGAGAAGGTCTCCTCCCTCCCACTCCTCCCCCCTCGCTCGCCGCCGAATGCTGACGGATAGACTTTCGAGGGTACACGTAATAGAGGAAGGACAAACAGCATAAGCGTAAACTTGGAGGTCCGCGCATATGTCTTGAATCTGGGCTAGAACCCCCTCCCTGGCAAGCGGAGCGCGCCAGGGGCGGCGCCGGAGGCGCCGCCAGGGGGCCCCAGCGCGGATCCAAGACATTCCGCGCGGAGCGCAAAAAAGTTTATGTCTATGGCGTCTTCTCTTCTTCGACGTCAGGCCCTTGTGCTGTGCTGCCGAATTAGAGGCCCCCTATATGGGGTCCGAGTAGATGGGATCGGCGGCGATGCATCAATGATGCACCGGCGATGCATAGTCGACGTCGGCGAAGCATCGCCGACGTCGGCGTGGGGGAACACGGGCTCCACATCGAGCCGCATCGCCGATGCATCGCCGATGCGGCGCGATCCTCCGACCCCATCTGCTCGGATCCCGTCTGGGAGGCCTGTGGATGAAGCCAGGGGGGACCGAACCCGGCACGCAGGCACCGTCCTCGAGACAGGCGGTCGGACCCCACCCCCCCGCGCCGGGGGGGGGGGGGCCTGGCGTCCGAGCCCCTGGAGAAGGCGAACTGCACGCTCTTCCGGGGGGAGCGCGACTCGAGCCTGCTGCGGGCCGAGCAAAGCGCCAGAGCGGGAAGAGCCGGGATCCGCCATGGGGGGGGGGGCGACCCTGGCGACTCAATGTTTCGAACCGGGCGTTTTCGCTCCATTTCGGGCCCCGGGACCCTCACAGATCGATCCGGCTCGAGAAATGACGCAGGAAGTTGGGTCCAGGGGTCTGGTCGTGATTTCTTGCGATGTTGCATTTTTTGTTGCAACGTCGGATCCCAGGGGAGGGGGGCATGAACCCGATCCGCTGGTGCACCGAACTGCCGCAAGCAGATGCCCCCCGCAGGCTCCACCTGTCGGCAATGGGGAGCTGCCTGCGGCTGGAGGGCATCTGCTTTGGGCGGCTCGGTGAAAAAGCCGATCGAACTCACACTTTTTTTTTCCCCACATGTTTCGTGGGGTTCTGGTTTTCTTCCCTGCCGCGTTGCACCCGCCTCTCCTTCTCCTCCCCTCCTCCCTCTTCCTCTCCTCACCCACACGCAACACCTGCACGGCACGTACATGAGACACGCGTCTACATACAGCCGCACGCATGCACACACTCGCATGCATACACACCATACTAAGCTAGTGCACGCCTGGCGTGTTCACTGCACCATGCACCCACGACGTATGCGCTACATCATGGGCACACCCATGAGACACACGTCCACATACAGCCTGACACACGTCTCATACCATGGGGGGTGCGCAAGGGGTGGTCTCCCTATCCGCGCCGGTCGTCCACGGCATAGCAGGCGTGGCACTTTCTCGACACCATAAGGGGTGCGCAAAGGATGGTCTCTCTATCCGCGCCGGTCGTCCAGGGCATCGCAGGCGTGGCACTTTTTCTCGATACCATAGGGGGTGCGCAGGGGGTTGGTCTCCCCATCCGTGCCGGTCGTCCAGGCATAGCAGGCGTGGCACTTTCTCGACACCACAGGGGGTGCGCAGGGGGTGGTCTCTCTATCCGCGCCGGTCGTCCAGGGCATAGCAGGCGTGGCACATTCTCGACACCATAAGGGATGCGCAGGGAGTGGTTTCCCTATCCCGGTCGTCCAGGGCATAGCAGGCGTTGCACTTTCTCGACACCGTACGGGGTGTGCAAGGAGTGGTCTCCCTATCCGTGCCGGTCGTCCAGGGCAGAGCAGGCGTGGCACTTTCTCGACACCATAGGGGGTGCGCAGGGGGTGGTCTCCCTATCCGAGCCGGTCGTCCAGGGCATAGCAGGCGTGGCACATTCTAAATACCATAGGGGGTGCGCAAGGAGTGGTCTCTCTATCCGCGCCGGTCGTCCACGGCATAGCAGGCGTGGCACAATTCGACACCATAGGGGGTGCGCAGGGGGTGGTCTCTCTATCCGCGCCGGTCGTCCAGGGCATCGCAGGCGTAGCACTTTCTCCACACCACAGGGGGTGCGCACGGAGTTCGGGGATCTCCTGACCCGGGTCAATCCACACCCGGGTCAACAGAAAACCAAAAAACTGCAATGCAGGAAAACAAAACTGCAACGCAGGGCTTCGCAAACCCGGGTCAGCCACTATGCGCGGCCGCTTCGCGGCCACGAGCGGCTCGCTAACCCGGGTCAGCCAGAGGGGGTCTTCGCAGGATCCTGCAGGATCTGGTGCCCTGACTCCCCAGTTGCATTGACCCCCATCTCAAGGCTCCCGAGGAGTAGTCTCTCTATCCGCGCCGGTCGTCCAAGGCCTAGCAGGCGTGGCACTTTCTCGACACCATAGGGGGTGCGCGGGGGGTGGTCTCTGAGCGCGGCCGCTATCCACGGCACTGTCGCAAAGCCTTGCATGCGTAGCAGCTTCACGATATCATAGGAGGTGCGAAGGGGGTGGTCTCTGAGCGCGGCCGCAGGGGGCACCAGAGAGCATGGTGGCGGTGGTAGTGGTAGTGCGGTTCACGCAGGACATAAAAAAAATACGTGGGGGTCCTCGGTAGCGTAAATTTGGTGCGTCGGCGGCTTGGCAGAGGTTGACTGCGCTGGCGATGAGAGGCTTAAACTGGGATGCCATTAGAGCGAATTGTGCCACCATGCAAGAGGAGGAGCGAGGAGAGGACGCGGCCGAAGGAATTCAGGGACGGAGCGGGCGGCTCAGGGGTCAAATCGCTCGAACCGATCGAACTCAGACTCACACACACACCCGGGTCACCCACACACACACACACACACACCCTTTGCGGGATCCCGAAAGAAGCCTGGCCCGATCGGAGCGCGTGTCGGACCGCGCCGCACCGTCCTGGGGTCGGCATCGGACCGGATCGGCCGTGGCAGGATGCCTAGCAGCATCAGGCTGAGCATCGGGCCGCACTGGCTAGTCGGCGTAATCATCTGGATCAAGTCGGACCGAGCCGGCCTGAACCGACATCAAGTCGGATCGATTGGACCGAAAGAGATCTGGCGAGGTCTGGGGCTCCGCGAGGTGCCCAAGTCAGTGAGGGTCGGCGATGCCGTCGAGCCTGCCTTGGACAAGGGAACACCCGGGGCGAGGCGATGCGAGGCGCCGGTCAGTCGTCCCGGGGGACGTCCCTTGCGAGAGCCCGGCGGTGGCGCTGCAGCGCCGAGAAATGTCTACGCGAGGAGGAATGGAGGGAGGAGGGGGGGGACTCAGAATGTTGAATTGGCGAAGTGTGAGCACCAGCTCTGCCTGATCATTGTTACCACCAATTTCCCGCACCGTCCCCACACTGACGTATGCCAATTGTGAGCCCCTGGGGGGTCTGCCTCTTTGCGGCGAACCATGGGGGTCCTGGCAATCCGGAAGTTTGAAAGCCGACTTGGGGCGACATTTCTCGGCAACCGAGAGGGTGGCCGAGGTGCGGGGCCGGGAGGATGGCCGACATGCGGGGCTGGGAGGATGGTCGAGGTGCGGGGCTGGGAAGATTACCGATGTGCGGGGGCGGGAGGATGGTCGAGCTGGCAATCAGCCAGAAGGTGCGCGACCGCCCCAGACCCCCTGGTGCTCACAATATGCTAAGCACAGTAGGGTTCCCTGGTTTAAACCAATACGTGCCGAGACCGCTGTCCCCCGGGCCTCTCCCGGGGTGCGTTCTGACCAGGATATCGAGGCGAATCCAGCGGTGGCGACGAGGGCTTCCCAGGAGACCCAAAAAGGGGACAACGGGGGAGGGGGTAGAGGTATGGATACCTTTTCCTTCTTTGATGCCTCCCCAGACCGGCCTCGATCCTATACCTGGGTCCGACTGTGGGGGGGGGCGGGACCGGCTCAAAGGGAGAAGCCTCGGCCTCGACTCTGCGAGGCCTCGCCGGCATAGGTCGGCGGTGGGCCCCCCGCCACAAAGGCGCGGCTGCGGGCTCCCGCGGGGCGGGGAGCGGGCGCCTGCCATCGCTCGGGCGTCCACTCCCCGCGCATCTCTCGGGTTCGTTCGTGTGTGCGTGTGTGCGCATGTGCGCGTGCGTGTGTGTGCGGGTGCGTGTGTGTGCGTGTGTGCGTGTGTGCGTGTGTGTGCGTGTGTGCGTGTGTGCGTGTGTGCGTGTGTGCGTGTGTGCGTGTGTGCGTGTGTGCGTGTGTGTGCGTGCGTGTGTGTGTGCGTGTGTGTGTGGGTGTGTGCGTGCGTGTGTGCGTGTGTGCGTGTGTGCGTGTGTGCGTGTGTGTGCGTGTGCGCGTGTGTGCGGGTGCGTGTGTGTGTGTGTGAACTGACCGTGGCCTGTACCAACGGGAGGCCACTGAGGCCAGGCACACTCTTAGAATCAAATCGCGAAGCGAATCGATATACAAGGCATCAAATAATGCATAGTGTGCACGTGCTTGTACGGCCAAGCGAAGCCCTACTGCCGTCTAGTGGGGACCGCGTCCCAGCACGACAGGCATCCCAACGTCTACCAGGGACGGCGTCCTGGCACGACGGGGCATCCGCCCAGCATCGCACGGATAACTGGCGGGAAACAAAATTGTACAAGGAAAAACGCCCAGAGCTCGACTCGAGGAGGAGCACCACCGCGTCTGCCTTGCAATGGCCAGGCTCAGCCACCGCCGCCGCTGCAGCCTGCACCAGCGCTGGGGCCCAGGGGCTCCAGGAGGGAGCGAGGAACCCTGAAGACCGCGCCCGTGCCGTCAGGGTCGATCGCGACGTCCATGCCCTGGTCCGTGGCGTCCCAGATCACCTCCGCCGCTGCTCCGTCCTGAGCCGTGCCCGTGCCGCGGACCCGCACCCGCAGGCCTGCGGGCAGGGCGGCACGTGCGCCTGGCCCCAGCGCAGGCGGGGACGGCCTGGCGCTCTGCACGCCGACGTGCATCGCTGCCACGCTCTCGTCATCGCGGGCGTCGCCGACTTCGACGGGCACCTGCACGAGCGCGAGGCCCGTGCGCTGCCCACCAGCGCCGTCGCCGCCGTCCACGGCCGCCACCGCCTCGCGAATGGGCGGCACGCCCGCCGCGGCCGCCGCAAGGCCTGCCGCTGCTGGGCGCCCCCCATCCGCCCAGGAGTCGTCCTCCATGGAGGCGTCGTCGTCGGCCGCCGCCGCACCGTCGCCACCAGGAGGACCCGCCGTCAGCGCGCGCGGGGGCCGCCTGCGGCGTCGCCGCCGCCGAGCCCGCTCCGCAGCGTCCGCGCCAGGGGCCCCGCCCTGCGCAGCCGCTGCGCCTGCCGCTCCTCCAGCTCCTCCCTTCTGCTCCTGCTCGTCGCCGTCGTGGGCCCGAGGGGCGCCAGGCGGGGCCCCCGCGCCGCGCCCCGCGCGGCCGCGCGGCCGGCGGCGCCGCCCAAGGCGGCCCGCGGCAGCCGGTGCCGGGGGGGCGGGCGCAGCCCTCGCGCCAAGGGCCACGATGGCCGCGCGGAGCAGGCCCTCGGCCGCACGCAGGAGGCGGGTCCCGCTTGGAGACGCCGCCTCGACTGCGAGGCCGCTGGCGGCGTGGGCCGCCAGGAGGGCGCCGCGGGCCGACTCGAGGGCCCTGCGGCGCGCCGCATCAGCGCTGCCAGCGTCGGCACGCGCAGCAGGCCCAGCGGTGGCCATCACGAGGACGGCGGCCGCGGGCCCAGGCGAAGCGCAGCTTGAGCCGAGGCAGCTGTGTGTGTGTGAGGGGCTGTGGGACCCCCATTGGCGCTGAGTGGGCGGTTGGGAGTCGACGCATCCCCCCCTGGGCCTGACTCTCCTGCCATTGCCGCCGAAAGAGGGCCTCCCCGAGGGGGCCCCTAGGATAGAGGGCGGAAGAACTCCCCGCAGCAATCAGATGAAACGTATATCAAGAAGGAGCCCAGCAGTGCAGGGGTGTGCAGAAGACGCCCAAGACTGGGCTGGTAGAAACGAGGCTTCGCCGATAATACAGACCCTCAGGGAAAGCTCTCGGGCGCGAGTTTCGCTGTATGTCTCAAACGCAACAGATGTTTCAAAACCGAATGGCATCACAAAGAGTTTAATTTCTCACACCAGAGATCCAGCAAGCAAAATCAACTCACATAATTTAAGCATCCTGGGCTCCTGGAGAAGGAGATGGAGGAAGAAGAGGAGGATAATCAGGAAGCAGGAGGAAGAAGAGGAAGGAGAGGAGGAGCAGGAGGAGGAGGAGACGGAGGAAGAAGGAGGAAGAAGGAGGAACAAGGAGGAAGGAGGAGCAGGAGGAGAAGGAGGAAGAGGAAGAAGGAGAAGGAGGAAAAAGAAGAAGAGGAGAATGAGCAGGAGGAGAAGGAGGAAGACGAGGAGGAGGACAACGAGGAGGAGGATGAGGAGAAGGAAGACAAGGAGGAGCAGGAGGAGGAGGAGGAGAAAGAGAAAGAAGAAGTGGAGGAGGAGGATGAGGAAGACGAGGAGGAGGATGGAGGATGAGGACGGGGAGGAGGAAGACGAGAAGGAAGAGGGGGAGGGGGAAGAGGAGCGAGAGATGACGACGACGGCTCGAAGACGAGCCCACAACTTGCTCGACTACGAAGGTTCTTGCGACCAACCGAAGTTTCAACGGCCTGGCCTTCCCCAGTCGAAGCGAACACAGGGCGAAAACGGGCAAGATTTCGCAATGCAGACAAAGAAAAGCGCAAGACCGGCCGTGCCAGCACCAAGCTAAGCTGAAAGTTTGCTTGATAATGCTCAAACGAATGTTCATCTGACAGCCCCGATCTGGACTCAGTCGGCCCCCGATAACTCACCTGGTGCCTCACTCACCCGGTGCCGCTCACTCAATCCCTGGGTCCCTTCGCCTCAGCAGGAGCCCTCAGGAGTCCTCCCGACAGTTAGGCAACGAAAAGAAGAGGGGTCTTGCGCAGGATGGCATAGCGACCTTACGCGGTGGCTTACGCGGACCGCCAGCCTGGCACAGCGGGGCGCTTACGCGTGATCAGATTCGGGCAGCTCGCGCGCGACTGTCCGCCTAGTCGACCCGTTTTCTTCCGCCGCTCAGGTGGAAGCTCCTCCTGAAGGGGAAGCACCTCGGACCATCCTCCGAGCGCCCCTGATAGAGGCCTCCTAGATGGGATCCGCGTGAATGCGGTCGGGCGATCGTGCCGCATTGCCGATGCATCAGCGATGTATCGTTGATGCATCGGCGACATCGGCGCGGAAAAAATCTGGCGTTCTGTTGCTCCCAGCGTACTTAAGGACCACATCCCAGAAATAATTTCGAGCGCCCAGGAAAGTGTTGGAACAGTGTCGAAACAGCGTCGGACGAGTCTCCCAGGGCCCGACACGTAAAAACCCTCGAGTTTCGGACCTTTCTTGGTGATCGAAATTCTTTCTGGTGGTCAAGGCTCAAGGCTAAAGTAGGTTGGAACATCATAAACCGGGGGTCTCCACATTGAGCCGCGTCGTCGATGCATCGGCGATGCGGCGCAACCCCTCGACCCCATCTGCTCAGACCCCGCTTGCGAGGCCTGTTGGCCTGGGCATCTCCGAGGACGCGCCCCGGCCCAGCCATCCGGCGCCGTGCCTCTGCTGCACAGCGTGGCTTCCCAGAGGTCTGCATCAAGGCTCGAGCTAAACAGTGTTTTTTTTCGTTCTCGTTTTGTGAATAACCAAAAAGGGCCCCTAACCCTTAGGTTTTTTTTTCTGCTAATGTACCGAACCAAACGATCCATTTTCCCTCATGCAAGACGACGGGGACCTCAGTGAGGCCACGCCTTCACCGTGTTATTAGGCTTAGGGGCCTCTGTTGTTCCCGATGCATTTTATCCCGTTTGAAGCACCCCGGACTGAGGAGGAGGAGGAGGAGGAGGAGGAGGAGGAGGAGGAGAAAGAGGAGGAAGAGGAGGAGGAAGAGGAGGAGGAGGAGGAGGAAGAGCAAGAGGAGCAGGAGGAGGAGGAGGAGGATGACTATCCTCCGAGCGCCCCCGGAGCATCTCCGAGGGCGTGCCCCCAGCCCGCGCTCACCGGACCTCCCAGCGCTGTGCCTCTGCTCTGCACAGAGCGTGGCTGCCCAGCAGCCTCTGCGCACTCCTGAGTTTTTGTCCCAGCGCCTCGGCCCGAGCCGTCTTGTTTTTACGCTCCCAGGGCCTTCTCCCCTCCTCCTCCTCCTCCTCCTCCTCCTCCTCCTCCTCCACCTCATCCCCCTCTCCTCCTCCTCCTCCTTCTCCTCCTCCTCCTCCTCGTCCTCCTCGTCCTCCTCGTCCTCTCGTCCTCCTCGTCCTCCTCGTCCTCCTCGTCGTCCTCGTCGTCCTCGTCGTCCTCGTCGTCCTCGTCGTCCTCGTCGTCCTCGTTGTCCTCCTCGTCGTCCTCCTCGTCGTCCTCGTCGTCCTCGTTGTCCTCGTCGTCCTCGTCCTAGTCCTCGTCCTCGTCCTCCTCCTCCTCCTGTGCCGATCCGAGCGAAGGCCTCCGGAGGAAGAACAACAACGGCGAGAGCATTCTGGTCGTGGCCTTCGCGATGCGAACATATCTAGGTATAGAGGAGCAATTATGCCCACCGGTCGGAAGAGGTGGGCAGAAGCATGAAGTAGGGAGGCGCTGGAAGCATATTGGGCTTCGCCCGCCCCCTGAAGAGGAAGGATGAGGAAACACCGCTCGACTCATGAAAACAAGGGAAGGCGCCTGAAGTAGATTAGGGCCTGGGAGTCCGGACATACATGCTGTTAACGACCGGCGAGTAATCAGAAGTTTTTGGAAGTCCGACACTTTATGTTTATAGGGGAACGAAGAATGACATAAACATAAAAGCTCGGAGGTCCGCGCGGATTTCTCGAATTGGCGCTGGACCCCCAAGGGCCATGCTTCAATGTTTATGTCACTCTTCGTTCCTCTAGTTTATGCCGTGTTCCCTTCTTCGAGTGTGAGGGTCTGCCTCCTGCTGCGGCGCACCACCCACGCGCGGCGATCCCACATCCGCCGCCGTGCCCCGCGCACGCCCGCGGAGCGGGCCTGCGCTGACGCCGCGACGGCATCCCTGGACGCCGCTGGAGGGCAGAATGCCAGAGCGGGAAAGAGGGAAAGAAGGAGGAGGAGGAGGCGGAGGAGGAGGAATAGGAGGAGGAGAAGGAGGAGAAGGAGAAGGAGTAGGAGTAGGAGGAGTAGAAGGAGAAGGAGTAGGAGGAGATGGAGGAGAAGGCGTAGGAGGAGAAGGAGGAGAAGGAGTAGGATGAGGAGGAGTAGGAGGAGAAGGAGTAGGAGGAGGAATAGGAGGAGGAGAAGGAGGAGAAAGAGTAGGAGGAGTTGGAGTGGGAGTGGGAGTGGGAGTTGGAGGAGGAGGAGGAGAAAAGGAGGAGGAAGAACCCGAGCGTGCGACGCCCTGACCTGTTCAGCACGGGGGCCCCCGGAAGTCCCAACCCTCTCCCGAGGGCGGGCTCTTCGTCCTGGATCGCCTCTCGGCGGCCCCGCGGCCTGGTGGGGGCCCCGCGGAGGCCCGGAGCGGCCGACAGAAAGACACGCCCAAACTTTGCCAGGGCACGAGCAGGTCTGGGAACCTGACAGGTGGTCTGCCCCCTCCTCCTCCTCCTCCTCCTCCTCCTCCTCCTTCTCCTCCTTCTCCTCCTCCCCCTCCTTCTCCTCCCCCCTGCTTCTCCTCCTCCTGCTCCTCCTCCTCCTCCTCCTCCTACTCCCACTCCTAGAGTCCTAGGGGCCTCCCAGATGGGGTCGGAGTGGATGGGCTGGGAGGATCGCGCCGCATCGCCGATACGTCGGCGACACGTCGCCGATGCATCGGCGACATCGGCGATGCATCGGCGACGCCAGCGTGAAGAGCATCGAGCTCCACATCGAGCCGCATCGCCGATGCATCGAAGATACGGCGCGACCCTTCGACCGCATTTACTCGGACCTCATCTATCGAGAAGAGGATCGACTACAAAATCGATTCACCCCAAAATTGATTGTCTCGTCGGATCTACGGAACATGCGTAGAATGGTCGTAGATATGCGAAGCAATCCTTGTATTTTCGTAGATTCGACTGGAAACTCAATTCTTGGGTAAATCAATTCTGTTGTCGATCCCTTACTCGGACTCCATCTAGGAGGCCTAAATTCCTTCCCCTGCGCCAGGCGGGCCCCTCTGGGGCTCGGCCAGGGCCCTCCCACGCCCTCTCGCGGGGCCCCAGGACAGGGCCCGCAAGAGCCGAAGCACAGCGCAGCACGCCAGAGCCCTCTTTCGAGGGCGCGCACAAATGAATTAGCGATCCATGGCTTTGGCGCGCGGTCGCCAAATCCATGGATCGGGGGAGGTGCGCCGCCTCGTTCGGCAGCGGAAATCCTAGATTTCCGATGGAAACGGGACCCGTCGCTAAGTGAGCGTTTTTTCATTCGGCATTTCAACATTGGGCGGAAGGGGGGATGGGGTGGGGGGGGGTCTGGCTCTGGACCTCTGCTTAGTGCGACTGTTTGGGACCGTGCGTCCTATTCGAAACAGGCGCCAAAAACACCCAAGATCTACTCCACGCAGGGGGGAAGGAAGGGGTGCGATGGCCCGCGCCGATCGGCAAAAGAATAAATAAAAGGCGCTCGCTAATCCACGCCCCCTTGATCCATGCTTGCGATCGCCTGACTCTTGCGCGACTCGTCGTTGGCCCGGCCCTCACGGCTCCCGGGCCTCCTCCGAGGGCCCAAGGGGTGCGGAGCAAAGAGGGAGGTGGGCACCAGCTCAGGGGCGGCAACGTCGAGCTGGACTCGGCGATGCGTCGCCGATGGGCACCGATAGCGAATCCCCAAGGTGAGCGTTTTCTTATTCGGCGTTTCGACATTGGGCGGAAGGGGGGGAAAGGGGGGGGGTCTGGCTCTACACCTCTGCTTAATGCAACTGTTTGCAGCAGTACGTCCTGTGGGGGAAACTCCACCTGCTCGAAACAGGCGCCCCAAAAAGGCAAGATCTGCTCCATGAGGGGGGAGGGGGGGGGTACGAGGGCCCGCGCCGATCAGCAAATCAATGCATAAGAGACGATCACCAAGTTCCTGGGCGGGGTGGGCTGTTTTGGGGTCGACGCATCCCCCCGAGAGCCAGAAGCCCACTGACGTCGCCCCCTGCTCGTCGTCGTCCTCCTCAACATCCCCATCCTCATCCCTCTCGTCTCCGTCCTCCTCCTCCTCCTCCTCCTCCTCCTCCTCTTCCTCGTCCTCCTTCTCTTCCTCCACCTCGTCGCCGCCACCCTCCTCCTCCTCCTCCTCCTCCTCCTCCTCCTCCTCCTCCTCGTCCTCCTCCTCCTCCTTCGTCCTCGTCCTCCTCGTCCTCCTCGTCCTCCTCGTCCTCCTCCTCCTCGTCGTCTCGTCCACCCTCCTTGTTCTCCCCCTGCCTCTCCTCCTCCTCCTCCTCCTCCTCCTCCTCCTCCTCCTCCTCCTCTCCCCTGCCTCCTCCTCCTCCTCCTCCTCCTCCTCCTTGTCGGCGCCCTCCTGACGCTGCCCCTGAAGAGGGATACGCGCCGCCGCCTGAAACGCCCACTGCCCACCGAGGGCCTGCTGCCCGTCGACCTGGCGCCCGTCGACCTCCGAGCGGAGTCCTTGGAGGTCGGGTGCGCGTCGACCTGTGTCGGGGAGAAATAAGACCCGGTTACGGGGGACTCGGAAGTCCCCGACGAGGTCGTCAAAGAAATGACGAGGCCGAGCCTGCATTTTGACGAGGCCTCCCGCTGCAGACATCCCACGAAACTCCTCCTCGTCAAAATCCGAGGCGCGAACGTCAAAAAACGGTGGCGAACCCGAGTCCCGGCAAACCCGGGTCTTACGCTCCCCCGACTGTGGGTGGGGGGGGGGGGCGCCGACCACCCGAACCGTTCGGATGGTGAGGCTGCGGGCTCCGCGGACAGACGGCCCCCCCGAGGTGGCCAGAGATCCGACGCTCCAGCAGAAAGCGGGGCGGCGGGCTTTTGCCTATGTTCGGCCTCTGGGGGCCCTCGCTGGGCCTCGAAAGCGGGAAAGCACGACTCGGGACGAGAAGCTGGCCCCAGGGAAATGGTCTGGACCTCTGGGGCCCACGCACCGAACAAAAGTTGAGCAACCGGATGTCTGGGAGGTAGTCTTAAGTCGGGCATGTCCCCCTACAGGCAGATTTTCGTCGAAAACATAAATATTCAAAACGTATGATAAAAAGAAGATATGCCCCAAACTCGCCCCCAGCCTATTAGTTTAAACTATTTTTGAATATTCGATCTGAAGAGGGACAGGCCCGACTTAAAGGTACTCCTGGCTGGCATCCAGAGGCCTCGGGTCACCTCGAAGATCCCCACTGCCTCGGTGGGGTCCCTGATCCCTGGGCAGTTTACAAAATCTGTCACTGCACCGACCATGCAGACGTGCTGCAGCGGATTTGTGCGTGGATTCCTGTCCATGCAACACCCCGAGAACGAAAAACGAAGTGAATTTCACGTGGATGTCTTGTAGTCTTTATTCCTGGCCCGAAACAATCCGCACGAAATTCACTTCGAAATCAAGGACGAAATTCTCAAGGACAATCTGGGCTCATTCCATGGTTTTCCAAACGAAATCCGCTCTGCGATGTTGGCGCCATGAAATCTGGCCTCCGGACATGAAACCACGCTTCGGAAAGACACGTCCCAGGCCGGGCCCGTCTTTTCGTTGGGGTGAGTTTCCCCACGAACCAGCGCAGCGATATAAAAGTTGCCAGCTTCTCCGCCGAGGGAAGCTTCTATGGCGGCGTCCCTGGAGCGCTCCAGACTACTCGGGGGCCTCTTGAAGCCAGATGGGTCTACTCGGGGGGCCTGTTGAGGCCAGCTGGGACAACCTTGGGGGGGGCTGGCTATGCGCAACCCGGAGCCTGCTGCATGCAGCAGGTGGCGCGGAGCATCGCGCCGCATTGCGGATGCATATCCGATGCATCGACGCCGTCGGCGTGGAGAACATCCGGCTCCACATCAAGCCGCACCGCCTATGCACCGCCAGTGCAGCGCGATACTCCCGAGAATGCGATGGCCAAGGGACTCCACCATGCGATGCGCAGGCCATGCAGGAGATGATCAAGACGGCGAAAGAGCGAACCAAGACCGGAGGACAAGCGAGGGAGGATGACGAGACCCGGGCCAGGCCCGTCCTGGCACCTGCAGGCCTCCTCGTGGAAAGACAACCAAGACGGTCCGATCACAGCGAGCTCCTCAGAATGCTGTGATCAGTGACGCGATCAACGCGGTAATGGCACTCGAACTACAAGAAACTCGTGGGGTCAAAGAAAGCCTCTTTAAACCCCAAGGGCCCGAGGCCTCGAACTACACGACACCCGCCTCAGGCCCCCAAAGAGGCCTCAGGCGACCCCAAAACAGGCCGCAGAGGCCCCAAAACTGTTCCAGGAGGCCCCCGGGAGGTCTCGACGAGATCCCAGCGAACATCCGAGAGGCCTCAGACCCACAACCACGGTGGCGGGATGGGTCGAAGGCCGTTCCGACAAAACCCTTCTGGGGCCAAGAGCAGCAATACATGATTGAGCGGCACAGGATCGCTGGAGCAACCTCTCTCGACAGCACGCGAATCACAGCAGGCAGCAGAAGCTGAAACGCCGCAGCCCCCCCCCCCCGTGAGAGGGGACGAGGAGGAGGAGGAGAAGGAGGAGGAGGAGGAGGAGGAGAAGGACGAGGAGGAGGAGGAGGAGGAGGAGGAGGAGGAGGAGCATCCTCCCTTACCAATTCCGGGGGCAACCGATCGCCGACGCGGGTCGCCGCCCGCCGCCGCGTCCGCCAGCGTGCCCGGCGGCGGCGACGAGTGAGCGACGGCGCCGCCCAGCGGCCAAGACGACGACGGCCGCTGGAGACGCCACCGCCGTCCTCGGCGGTTCGGAGATTGGGGCCCTGATGGATGGGCCCCAAGGGTATAAATAGGTAGGGGTCCCAGGAAAGGTAGGCAGGTCTGAGCAGGAAGGGGACAGGACGGATGCGGGTTCCGAGGGAACCCGGTGACCTCGCAGCTCTGGCGCGGGCCTCTGAACACTGGCGCCGAAGTGCTGCGGCATCTCTCGGGCCAGATCGATTCGCGGACGTCTCGGGGCCCGAACCTGGGCGAAAGCTGATGGGCAAACCTTCCACCACCACTATCATATGTAGGACGGGGGAGAAGGGAGGATGAGGAGGTCCTCCTCCCCCTCCTCCTCCTCCTCCTCCTCCTCCTCCTCCTCCTCCTCTTCCTCCTCCTCCTCCCTCCTCTCCTACCGATGGCAGTGGTGGTTGGTGGAAAATGGACCCGTCAAAAACGCCCAGCGCGAAGAAGCTGCGGCGCAAGGGTCTCAGGGCACTCTGCACTGAGCCTCGTGTATCCGAAGCCTGTCACCAGCCGGCGTGCTCTCGGCCCCGCTGGCCGACTTGCCCGCCTGGGTGGGGATGCGCACAGGTTCCTTCGAGTTCTGCGGGGCCCATTCCCAATTGGGGGACGTGGGCTGGAGGGACGGCAATAGGTACGTACAGTCGGGCCTAGGCCAGAAGAACATCCTTCAAGAACATGAGACCCTCCGTCGGCCAAAACAAACAGAACGTCCAATGCTACCCTCCCCAAGATGCTCAAGAACATCCAACAAACGCGAAGAACACTAGGGCACCCTCCCCGAACTGACCTCGACCTTCTACCTCGGTCCGGCTGTAAAGTACCGCTATCAGCTCCGCGCAAGAGCGATCCTGTGCAAGAACCGCCTCTGGTACGCAGTTCGGGGGGTCCGCGGGGAGGCGAAACCTGAGCGCGCCAGCCACTGCTGGGGGGACCCCTGTCGGCCCATACCAGAAGGTCACTCTGGCGAATGGTCAATCTTACAGTCAACCCGCATGTTAAGAATGAACGACGTTCCAAGACTACACTTGCTTCCTTAGCCCTTCGGACAACCCTTAGCGACTTTCGCTGGCCAACCTCGTCCGAAAAACGTCAGCATGGCCTTCCAAACCTGGACGCCCGAATTATCAGGGATAACTGCTGTCCGGAGTCACTCAGGTTTGGGCCCCCTGGGCGCGAATATGTAGCGACCCCTGACCGCCCCCAGCCCTGATGATGTTCTTTCTTTCTTTCGGACGGCCGCTGGCACAATCGTGCGCGTGCTAGGTGACAGGCAAGCTTGTTGTCATAACGCCGTAAGCTCATCACGACTCCTGGGGCCTGTACCAAGTAGCCTTCAGGGCGCAGCATCAACACGTAGATACCTCAAGCAGAAAATTATCCCGGCAAAGCAGCCTAACAGCGATGTGCATAAGCATATCTGGAAGCATTCCCCTTCAGATGCAGGTGAGAATCCAGATGTAGAATTCTGCTGTTCTCGCAGTCGCAGTCGCATTCGCAATGACAGTCGCAGTGGCAACGGCCTTAGGATCCAATGGAATCCTAAGGATTCCTAGGAATTCCTAAGGCATCCTTAGGCATCCTTAAGAATCAACAGGAATCCTTAGGATTCCTAAGGAATCCTGAGGAATCCTGATTCCTAGGGATTCCTGGGGATTCCTAAGGATTCCGAGGGAATCCTAAGGATTCCCAAGGATTCCTGAGGATGCTTAACTATGCCTACGGATTCCTAAGGATTCCAGAGGATTCCTAAGGATTCCTACGGATGCCTCAGCCTGCCTCAGTTTCAGCCTCAGCCTCAGCCTGCCTCGGATTGCATCAGCCTCTGCCTCAGCCTGCCTCGGCCTCAGCCTCAGCCTGCCTAAGCCTCAGCCTCAGCCTGCCTCGGCCTCAGCCTGCCTCAGCCTCAGCCTCAACCTGCCTCAGCCTCAGCCTGCCTCAGCCTCAGCCTGCATCAGCCTCAGCCTCAGCCTCAGCCTGCCTCGGCTTGCCTCAGCCTCAGCCTCAGCCTCCCTCGGCCTCGGCCAGCCTGCCTCGCCTCCCCTCCTCCCCCCCCCCCCCCCCTCCCGCCCCTCCCCCCCCCACCATTCAGCCTCACCTTGTCTCAGCTTCGGCCTGTCTCAGCCTCATCCTCATCCTCAGCCTCAGTCTCAGCCTGTCTCGGCCTGAGCCGCCTCAGCCTCAGCCTCAGCCTCAGCCTCAGCCTGCCTCAGCCTCAGCCTCAGCCTGTCTCAGCCTCAGCCTGCGTCAGCATCAGCCTCAGCCTCAGCCTCAGCCTGCCTCGGCTTGCCTAGGCCTCAGCCTCAGCCTGCCTCAGCCTCAGCCTCAGCCTCAGCCTCAGCCTCAGCCTCAGCCTCAGCGTCCCTGCCTCAGCCATCAGCCTCAGCCTCAGCCTCAGCCTCAGCCTGCCTCGGCCTCAGCCTCAGCCTCAGCCTCAGCCTGCCTCGGCCTCAGCCTCAGCCTCAGCCTGCCTCAGCCTCAGCGTCAGCCTCTCAGCCTCAGCCTGCATCAGCCTCAGCCTCAGCCTCAGCCTGCCTCTGCCTCAGTCTCAGCCTGCCTCAGCCTCAGCCTCAGCCTGCCTGGGCCTCAGCCTGCGTCAGCCTCAGCCTCCACCTGCGTCAGCCTCGGCGTGCCTCAGCCTCAGCCTCAGCCTGCCTCGGCCTCAGCCTGCCTCGGCCTCACCCTGCCTCAGGTCGGGCATTCAAAATATGGCACAGAACTTGTGTTCTGGGACTACGAAAATCACGAAGTGGCCTACAGCTGGCTCCGGGCAATCAAAATATGGTACAGGAATTGTGTTCTGGGAACACGACGAACACGAAGTGGCCTACAGTTGGCTCCGGGCATTCTCAATGTGGCCTGGGAATGGTGTTCTGGGAAGACGAAGAACACGAAGTGGCCTACAGTTGGCTCCGGGCATTCTCAATGTGGCCTGGGAATGGTGTTCTGGGAAGACGAAGAACACGAAGTGGCCTACAGCTGGCTCCGGGCATTCAAAATGTGGCCTGGGAATGGTGTTCTGGGAACACGAAGAACTGGAAGTGGCCTACAGCTGGCTCCGGGCATTCAAGATGTGGCCTGGGAATGATGTTCTGGGGAAGCCCCAGATCCCCCGGATTCCCCCGGCATCCGCCCAGACCCCCCTGGGGAGTCAAGATGCTCTCTTTTGAGCCCACTAAAAACCTATCAGTCTTCGCTGTTAGGTAATGAATGCAAACACTGGGCAAGTGGAGGGAGAGCAGGGGAAACAAGAAGCCCTGATGATGTGGGGCCCTGACAAGTCCCTTGCACCCTTACCGCGCATCCTTCTTAGACGGGCCGCCTGTGCGCGTGGCCGACGCTACCGCTCCTCCCAGGACCTCTCCCGGGGTGCGCTGCTGCGACGCCCCCTCGGCCCATCCTTGGCGACCTTCGCTGACCAGCCTCGTATGAGGAAAAAATTATCCCGGCAAGGCAACCTAACAGCGATGTGTAGAAGCATATATGGAAACATTCCCCTTAAGATCCAGATGAGAATCCAGTTGTAGAATTCTCCTGTTCTCGCAGTCGCAGTCGCGATGACAGTCGCAGTGGCAACGGCAGTCACAGTCACAGCCTCAGCCTCAGCCTGCCTCAGTATCAGCCTGCCTCAGCCTCAGCCTCAGCCTGCCTCAGCATCAGCCTGCCTCAGCCTCAGCCTCAGCCTCAGCCTGCCTCAGCCTCAGCCTCAGCCTGCCTCAGCCTCAGCCTCAGCCTGCTTCAGCCTCAGCCTCAATCTGCCTGCAGCCTCGGCATCAGCCTCAGCCTGCCTCAGCCTCAGCCTGCATCAGCCTCAGCCTCAGCCTCAGCCTGTCTCAGCCTCAGCCTGCCTCAGCATCAGCCTGCCTCAGCCTCAGCCTCAGCCTGCCTCAGCCTGCCTCAGCCTCATCCTCAGCCTGCTTCAGCCAAAGCCGCCTGCTTCAGCCTCAGCCTCAATCTGCCTTCAGCCTCGGCCTCAGCCTCAGCCTGCCTCAGACTCAGACTGCATCAGCCTCAGCCTCAGCCTCAGCCTGCCTCAGCATCAGCCTGCCTCAGCGTCTGCCTCAGCCTGCCTCAGCCTAGCCTCAGCCAACAGCCACTGCCTCAGCCTTCAGCCTCAGCCTCAGCCTAGACTGCCTCAGCCTAGCCTGCATTCAGCCTCAGCTCAGCATGCCTCAGGCCTCAGCCTAGCAAAAGCCTGCCTCAGCATCACGCCTCGCGCCTCAGGCGTCTTGCCTCAGCCTGCCTCATCCTCAGCCTCAGCCTCAGACCTCAGCCTTCAGCCTCAGCCTCAGCCTGCCTCAGCCTGCCTCAGGCTCAGCCTCAGCCTGCCTCAGCCTCAGCCTGCCTCAGCCTCAGCCTCAGCCTGCTTCAGCCTCAGCCTCAGTCTGCCTTCAGCCTCAGCCTCTGTGCCTCAGCCTGCCTCAGCCTCAGCCTGCCTCAGTATCAGCCTGCTTCAGCCTCAGCCTCAGCCTGCCTCAGCCTCAGCCTCAGCCTGCTTCAGCCTCAGCCTCAGCCTGCCTACAGCCTCGGCCTCAGCCTCAGCCTGCCTCAGCCTCAGCCTGCATCAGCCTCAGCCTCAGCCTCAGCCTCAGCCGCAGCCTGCCTCCGCATCAGCCTGCCTCAGCCTCAGCCTCAGCCTGCCTCAGCCTCAGCCTCAGCCTGCCTCAGCCTCAGCCTCAACCTTTTCCTCAGCATCAGCTTGCCTCAGCCTCAGCATCAGCCTGCCTCGGCCTCAGCCTCAGCCTGCTTCAGCCTCAGCCTCAGTCTGCCTTCAGCCTCGGCCTCAGCCTCCGCCTGCCTCAGCCTCAGCCTGCATGAGCCTCAGCCTCAGCCTCAGCCTGCCTAGCCTCAGCCTGCCTCAGCCTCAGCCTCAGCCTCAGCCATCAGCCTCAGGTCTGCTTCAGTATCAGCATGCTCTAGGCCCAGCTCAGCCTGCTCAGCTCTGCCTCAGCATGCTTCTGCTTCAGCCTCAAACTTAGCCTCTGCCTCAACCCTTTTCCTCAGCCTAAGCATTAGCTGCATCCAGCCTCAGCTCAGCCTCAGCCTGCCTCAGCATCAGCCTGCCTCAGCGTCTGCCTCAGCCGGCATCAGGCCTCAGTCCTCTAGCATCAAACCTCAGCCTCAGCCTCAGCCTGCCTCAGCCTCAGCCTGCTCAGCCTCAGCCTCAGCCTGCCTCTCAGCAGCAGCGCCTGCTCAGCTCAGTGGCTCCGGGCATTCAAATTGTGGCCCGGGAATGGAGTTCTGGGCACTCGAAGAGCACGAAGTGGCCTACAGTTGGCTCCGGGCATTCAAAATGTGGCCCGGGAATGGAGTTCTGAGAACTCGAAGAGCACGAAGTGGCCTACAGTTGGCTCCGGGCATTCAAAATGTGGCCCGGGAATGGAGTTCTGGGGACTCGAAGACCACGAAGTGGCCTACAGTTGGCTCCGGGCATTCAAAATGTGGCCTGGGAATGGTGTTCTGGGAACACGAAGAACTGGAAGTGGCCTACAGCTGGCTCCGGGCATTCAAGATGTGGCCTACACCCTTACCGCGCATCCTTCTTAGACGGGCCGCCTGTGCGCGTGGCCGACGCTACCGCTCCTCCCAGGACCTCTCCCGGGGTGCGCTGCTGCGACGCCCCCTCGGCCCATCCTTGGCGACCTTCGCTGGCCAGCCTCGTATGAGGAAAAAAAACGTCAGCATGGCCTTCCAAGGCCCTTTGCACCCTTACCGCGCATCCTTATTGTACGGGCTGTCTGCACGCGTAGCCGACGATACCGCTGCTCCCGGGAACTCTCCCGGGGTGCGCTGTGACTTGGAGGTCGAAGCGAATCCCAGCCTAGCCGACGCGGAGCCTCCCGGAACGCTCAACGAATGAGGCGAAAACTCGTCAAGGGTAGCGAGAAGGAGGAGGAGGATGAGGAGTAGGACGAGGAGGAGGAGGAGGACCAGCGTAAACCCAAGGGTCATCAACGATGTTGGAGTAAACCCTTCCTCAAAGCTCCCTCATCATAGTCCAGGGAGCTGCCTCGTTGGATGACACCCGTTTGAAGACCCTGAAGCATGCCAAAACGTTGTTCTCGGGAATCCACCGCCAGGGATCAACCTGACGGTTGCGTTTGGACGATTCTGAATCGCGCCAGAACGCCATTCCCAGGACTTCAACACACGTAACTGTTGCGCCCGTAATCCTTGATCCTTGCAAAACACTATTTCTGGTACGCTGATGATGGAAGTCCGTGAAATTCTTGAGAATGTTGTAACGAATGTGCGCGGCGGTAAAGCGGCAAACGAGAGCCACATTTCGAAAAAGAATCGCCCTCAACCCGTGAAACTCCTGCAAATGCTTAGAACGAGTGTGCGCCGCGCTAAAGCGAGAACCACATTTTGAACACCACTCGCCCTCAATCCGTGACACTCTTGCAAACTGTTAAAACAAATGCTCGCCGCGCTAAGGCGAGAACCACATGTTGAAAGCCACCCACCCTCAACCCGTGAAACTCTTGTAAGTTGTTTAACGTGCGCCGCGCTAAGGCGAGAGCCACAGTTTGAAAGAAGACCCGCCCTCCATCTGTGAAGCTGCTGCCATGTTTAAGCTTCAGAACCATGAATTGCGAGGGCGTCTCAAGCGAAACGCCCGGCCCGCCCTAAAAACTGGCCTCGGGTTGCGACACGGAGAAGATATTCATAGGGTCAAGAAATGGAGGAGGGGTAGGAGGTGGAGGAAGGAGGACGAGGAGGAAAAGGAGGAGGAGGACGAGGAGGACGAGGAGGACGAGGACGAGGAGGGAGGAGGGAGGAGGGAGAAGGGAGGAGGGAGGAGCGAGGAGGGAGGAGGGAGGAGGGAGGAGGAGGAGGAAGAGGAGGGGGGAGGAGGGAGGAGGAGGAGGAGGAGGAGGAGGAGGAGGAGGAGGGAAAAGGAGAAGGAGGGAATGGGAGGGAGGAGGAGGGAAGAAGAGTAAGGAAGGAGGGAGAGGAGGAGAAGGAGCGAAGTGGAGGAAGGAGGAAGGAAGGAGGGAGAGGGAGGGAGGAGGGAGGGGAGAGGAGGTAGGAGGGGAGAGGAGGAGGAGGAGGAGGAGGAGGAGGAGGAGGAGGAGGAAAGAGGAGGAGTGGGAGGGAGCAGGAAGAGGGAGGAACGAGGACGGAAGAAGAGTAAGGAAAAAGGGAAGGGATGAGGAAAAGCGAAGAGGAGGAAGGATGAAGCAACCAGGAAGGAGGAAGGAGGAGGGAGGAGGAGTAGGGGGAGGAGGGGGAGGAGGAGGCACCTTTTTCGTCTCGCCCGTCGCCTTGATCTGGTAGGCGCCCTGGGAAGACGCCTGCCCGTCGCCGATGTCCTGGACGTCGTGCCCGCGGCCTGGCCGCGTGCCGCGGGTGCCCGGCGCCGCTGGCATCTTTCCTCGAGGCCCCATTTATCGCCCCCCGCAGTAGGGGCCTGACCAAGAAACTTTTCACAAGAAGCCCAACCCTGAGACCCCAGGACGTCCAGTGATTTTTGGTGTGGGAGCGTCGCGCGTTCCACAGCTCCCCCCCCAATCCGACCGGCCGTCCTACCACAGGTGCCGCTGAGCGTTTTGGCATTCTGCTAGTGGCCGTTTGGGGCCGCAAGGGGTCGCCGCACAACACCCCGGTTCCTATTACCCCTTGCCCCTCCTCCTGGGGCGGCAGGCACGGTCTGTCATGCAGCCGTGCACCCTGTGCTCCTCCGCGATGGCTGCGACCCGGAAGGGCGGCGCGATGAGCTGGTGGAGCAGAATATGCAAGGAATCTCGCTAGAGCGCCAGGAGGCTCGCTAGTGACGTCTAGTCGGTCAGGCTGCTGGTGATCGCACGTGGGGCTCGTGCAAGGAAAAACAAGACATGCCACAGCACGGCTGACGGAGGTTGCAGTCGAAATCATCCCTACGAGCTTGAGGACTTTTCGCCAATCGACTTGCGGGGATCGAGTCGCAGCCAGACAAATCCGCCGACACTGTGCCAGCGTGTGTGAGGGGCTTGCCCGTTCGCGTCGTTCGTTCGTCGTCGTCTCCGTCGTCTCCTGTCCCTGCGCCCACCCTTTCCCTGGGCCGCTCAAGTCCTGTCCCTGTACTCCCCCTTTCCCTGGGCCCGTCTCCCCTCCTCCCCTTCCATCCATCCTCTTCCCTGGGTCTGTCGCCGCTCGCCAGCCGCATTTCCAAGGCCGCCCCTTCAGGGGCAACGTTGTCAGTGACTCGAAGGGAAGCCCCTTCCCTTTGATCCCTCCCCCGCCGGGGGGGGTCCTATAGGGGGGGTCCAGGGGGGGGTCCCGGGGGGGTCCCGGGGAGGGTCCCCCCTCAGATGCGACTCCCCCCCTCACCGCCGGCCCCGGCCCCGGACCCACTCCCGGCCTCGGCCCAGGCCCTGCATGGCCCCAGCCCCTGGCCCCGGCCGGCCCCAGCCCGGCCCCAGCCCCGCGGCCCCATGGTCCTAGCCTCGGCCCCAGTCCCAGCCTTGGCCCCGGCCCCGGCCCCGGCCCTGGCCCTGGTTCCCGGCCCGCTCTGGCCCCGGCCCTGGCCCACTCCTCAACGGGAACATGGCCGCGAGAACGTTGCTCAAGGACATGAGCCCATTCGCTCGCCGAAAGCCCGAGGCCGCATGGAGATAAACGAAACGAAGAGCATGACAAGGCGGAGAGCCCCAACGCGAAGAACACTACAGTGCACCCTCAAAGCTATGGGTGTTTTTAATTTTTTGGCCAGCTGCACGGCGACCCCAATATCCGACTTGGTGGAGCTTCCGATTGGACAGAGCAGGTAGGAGGCCAAACTTGGGGATATGCACTTGGGGGGCGCCCACTATCGATGGGTGTGCGCCCGAGGAGCTGCTCTGGGGGTGTATTCCTGAGCCTTCTTTTTTATCAACGGCACGATTCTGGGGTGGGGCAGCTCGGGGATTGCGGAAGAGAGATGTCCGCGAACATCGATTCTAGCATGCAGGAAGCTGGTCTGGAGACACGGGGTCCTGGAAACTGCTCGGTTCTTTCGGGCCCCATGAGCCAACAAATACAACCGCTTGGATTTACGGCCTCAAATGCGCCCGAAAACCGGGTTGTCAATGACCCAGCCAGCCGTCCCTGGCCGCCTTCGCGTTGCCAAGCCACGTCGCAATGCAGAGAGGAAGAGGAGCCGGAGCAGGAACAGGACAGCGAGGAGGCGAGACACCCGCGGGCCCCAGGACCGTCACAGAACGACTCGGGATGAAGAGCCGGTGCTGGGGCAATCCCCAGGACCCAGGACCAGTTCCCCGCAGCGCCCCAGTGCTTCACACTGCAGCAGCAGCTCACGCTGGTCACCCGCGTAGGGGGCCACATGCGAATCCTACCCCTACCCCCCACGATTTCTGAGGGGGAGGGTGGGGGTAGGGTTCGCATGTGGCCCCCTACCGCGGGCCCTCGCAACACGCCGCAATGATCGAAGGGACGCCTGTCCAGAGGCCAGCGCCCCCAACGGGCAGCGTCAGGGGCGGGCACCAGCTCAGGGGGGGGAGCATCCACCCAGACTCGGCGGCACCTCGGCGATCTGGCCATCGCTCGGACGATTCCCTTTGCTTTTTCTGTTTCGTGCGTGGGTTTTTCGCCAAATGATCAAGGATGCCCCTCGATGGTCCTCGCCGAAGGAAAAACGCACACGTCCGAGCGATGCCAGGCGATAGATTGGCGGTCGGCCCCAGGTTGCGAATCCGCACGTTCCTTGGCAGGTTGGGGTGCCACGGTCCCGGTCGGCGAGGAGCTGGGCGAGGGGGGGTCGATGCCTCCCTCCCTGAACCAGTCTCCCATGGTAGGCGCGCCTGAAAGGTGGAGGGAGGAAGAGAAGGAGCGACAGGCGGAGGGAGGGAGTGAGGGGGAAAAGAGGCAGGAAAGGAGGGAGGTCATCCCCGGACCTCCCCCAGGGTGCGCTCTGACCCGAACTTCGAGGAGGATCTGGCAGCGGAGACGAGGCATTTCCAGGACGAGCAGCGGCATCGGTACCCTTTTCCCCTCAAGTGCACAGAGAGATAGAGAGAGAGAGAGATTACGTGATTGCGGGGTAACAGCTACTCCAAGCGTAGCCCCTACCTGAAAATCCGAGGAGTCGGAAGAGGCGGCGGAGGCGGGTCCCCACCCCGTCCCGGGTGCAGTCCTGGGCGCAGGGGCCGAAGCCGAGAGAGAGAGAGAGAGAGCCCGAGAGAGAGAGAGAGCGAGAGGATGCTTCGTAATCATGGGGGAACGCAAGAATCGGGTACGGGGGACTCGGGTTGGCCCGACGGGGTCATCGTTAATTATCCCAGTGCGACCCTACCTAGGAGTTGGAACCCCTAGGAAAGCAGCATCAGTAGTAACAGTAAAGATAAGCTAAAGCTAAGCCACAGCTAAGCTAAAGCTAAACTAACGCTAAGCTAAAGCTAAGCTACCGCTAAGCTAAAGCTAAGCTAACTATAAGCTAAAGCTAAGCTAAAACTAAGCTAAAGCTAAGCTAAAGCTAAGCTACAGCTAAGCTCATTATAAGCTACATCTAAGCTACAGCTAAGCTAAAGCTAAGCAACCTAAAGCTACGCTAAGGCTAAGCTAAAGGCTAAGCTAAATCTAAGCTAAATCTAAGCTAAAGCTGAGCTAAAGCTAAGCAACCTAGAGCTAATCTAAGGCTAAGCTAAAGGCTAAGCTAAAAGGCTAAGCTAAATACTAAGCTAACGGCTAAGCTAAACGCTAAGCTAAACGCCAAGCTAAATCCAAGCTAAAGCTAAGCTAAAGCTAAGGCTAAAGCTAAGCTAAAGCTAAGCTAAAGCTAAAGCTAACGCTAACGCTAAAGCTAAAGCTAAAGCTCCCATGGGACAGGGGGAACCGCTCCCAGGGGACTGGGGGAACCGCCCGGGGCGTGTTCCACTGCCCGGCCCCTTTAAGCTAAGAGAGTAAGAACCCTTCTAGGCAGAGCCTAGGTAAGGAAAAACGACGAGACCCAATCTGAAGTTTGATGCGACCTCCCGCTGCAAACATCCCACGAAAGCTGGACCGTCAAAATCCAGGACGCGCTCGTCAAATAAGTCGGCAAACCCGAGTTCTGAGTCATGTCGTGCGCGCATGCGCGCTGCGACGCTCGTGTCCCAGCACCGCCTCCTTGCCTCGGCTGCGCCGGAAGAGGTCCGCTCCCTCCTCGCATCTGCCCGCACGCAGCCCATTGAAAGGGAGAGGATGACGCGCCCCGTACCCCCCGAAAGACGAACAACCGCAAACGAGGAACGACCACGACGACGACGACGACGACGACGACCGACGACGACGACGACGACGACGACAGACGACGAACCCAGAGATTCGACGTCGCGAAAAAGTTGGAACATCGCACAACGCCCTGAACCCTAGACCTCCTCGTTCTGCGTCATTTTTCGGGTCGGATAAATCTGTGATGGTCCCTGGGCCCGAGCCTGGGTATACACGCCCGTTGGGAAAAATTGCAACACCAACCTTTCAAGGGACAACGAATCAAGAACCACGAACGACGACCAAACCGACACGAGAGAGACTGACCACGCTGCTCTTGAACAGGGACCGACCGTCCCGGCATCCCCATAGGCCTACCACGAATTTGCCTCATAACACAATAATGTTCCAATAGCGAAGGCAATGTTCTTGAAACATTAAGCCGACGGATTCAAAGAGGACAGTCTCAGCCAGCAATGTTCACTTCGTGCAAACCACAGAAGGTTCTTAGAACATTATTGGGTGGGCCTCTATTAGCCTAGTAGAGGCCTCCTAGATGGGTCGGACTAGATAAAATCGGGGGATCGCGCCGCACCGCCGATTCATCGGCGACGTCGGGCGAGCCTAGACAAGAACACTTCGTGTTACCCACAGAAATTTCTTGGAACATTCTTTTGTAGGCCTCCTGGCAAGCCAGGACACTTCGCCACTGCTCGAAAATGGGGGGCAGCGCGGGCTGCCGAAAAGGGGTCCTTCAGGGCCCCCCCCCATAGGGGGCCCTTATAGGGCCCCAGAGGGGGGTTGCTGTAGGGCTCCCCCAAAGCCCTGCATCGCTCCCCCCATTAAGTCGCGCCCAGGAGGGAGGGAGGGAGCCTCTCCCAGGCTCCCAGGAGCTCTGGAGGATCCTGGAGAAGCTCCCCTCGCCCGAGCCCAGACATCCAGCCGCTCCAAATTCGTCGATGCGTGGGCCCTGGAGGTCGGGACCACTTCCCCGGGGCCGGCTTTTCGTCCCGATCGTTTTTTGACGCTCCCGAGGCCTGGCGAGGGCCCCCGGAGGCCGAAAACTGTCCAGATCCCGCCGCTCCAATGGTTTTGGAGCGGCAGATCTCTGGGAGTGGCGCCCTCGCCCTCTGACGGGGCTCTAGGCTCAGGTCAGGCGTGTCCTCCTACAGGCGGATTTTGAACGAAAACTAGAACATAGTTGAAACAGACTCAAAAATAATCAAAAAACAATCAAAACAAATCGCCCCCAGACTATCTTTTGATTACTTTTGAATATTCCTCCTGTGGAGGGACACGCCCGACTTAAACCCTCGCCCTCTGGCGGGCCTCTAAGCTTAGGTCGGGCATGTCCCCCTACAGGTGGATTTTGGACGGAAAATGAAACATTACCCAAAACATGTTCAACAAAAAGAACCACACATATTCGAAAAATCGTCCGCTGACTATTCTTTGACAATTTTTGAATACTCCTCCTGTAGACCCGTCTTAACTCTGGGCAGGCCCCGCCGCTGCGCCTCTACCCGAGGCTCTCCGGGCCTCGCCCCCGCGGAAGCGCGACTGGCCAGGGGGTGCCGGGAGGCAGAAGGCGGGGAGTGGCGGCCCGCCCATGGCCGTGGCGGCGAGGGGCCCGGGGAAGGGAAGGAGGCAGGTGGCAACGTAGAATCCTCCCAGATGGGGTCGGAGTAGACGGGATGGGAGGATCGCGCCGCAACGCCAATGCGTCGCCGATGTATCGGCGATGCATCGTCGATGCATCGGCGACGTCGGCGATGCATCGGCAACGTCGGCGTGGAGAACATCGGGGTCCGTATCGAGCCGCATCGCCAATGCACCGCCGATGCCGCGAGATCCTCCGACCCCATCTGCTCCGACCCCATCTGGGAGGCCTAGGGAAGCGCAGGAGGATGAAGGAGGCAACGATCCCTGGGGCAACACACCAACCCTGGGATACCTCTGTGCTTGTCGTGGTTGAGCTCGTGGGCGAGATGGTGGTGGGTGTCTGCTGGGACGATACCGCCTCTCTTCATCCCCAACGGCTGTGGTCTCGGTCCAGCTAGCCAGGGCAGCGAAGTGAAGGAGGCAACGATCCCAGAGATCCGACGCTCCAAACAACAAGGGAGCGGCGGGGTTTGGGCAACGCTGGGCCTCCAGGGGGGCCCTCGCCCGACCTCGGGAGCGTCAACCAAACGACTCCGGACGAGAAGCTGGCCTCGGGGAAGCAGTCCGGGCCTTCGGGGCTCACGCAGCCAAAACATTGGAGCAGCATGATGTCTGGGATGCTCGGCTCAAGTGCTGTCAAAAAACGAGCGACGATAAGAGAAGGGTCTTGCGCGAGATGTCATGGCGACTTTACGCCGCGGCTTACGCGGACCTTCAGCGCGACATGCTTACATTGGGCACGAGGGCGCTTATGCAGAGACCTTACGCGGGCAGCTTACACGCCAATGTCGGCACAGACGACCCCGTGCTTTTGGCGTCGCCCAACTGCATGCGTGCAAGCATCAAGAAAACCAAGCGACCCATACTGCCCGTGGGGTGGCTCACAGCGGTCAGACTGCTTGACGAGGAGTCGCGTGACATGACTTGGTTTTTGCTGGAAGCAATGGCGGGGTAGGTATTTCACCATGCGAAGCACCCACAGGATGCCCCCCCAGGAGGCTCAGGAAGCGCGAATGACGCAAACCTCTCAAACCTCGAAGTTCGAACATCGATCGAAAACGAGAATATGGAGGTTCGAAGTTCGAAAATGCGGACATCTCGATCTCTCAGAAGAAAGACAGCACACGCCCATAATCCCTCGAAGAGGACGAGAACGACGTCATGATAGGATTGGCGCAGGATGCGTTCCAGGATTTCCATTCACTCTGGCGGCCATCGTTTCCGTAGCCCGTGCAGAACGTCAAGGAACCTGGGAAATCCTGAAAGCCAAGGGAATCCTGGAGCGTCGCATTATCATGACCTCGTGCTCCTCCCGAGACGTCTGGCCGCTCCAATTTTTTAATGCGTGGGCCCCAGAGGTCCTGAACACTTCCCTGGGCTGGTTTTTCGTCCCGAGGCTTTGTTGAAGCTCCCGAGGCCCTGGCAACGGCCCCCGAGGAGGCCGAAAACTGCCAAAATC